GCTTGCCGTTCCAAATAAAATTGAATATTTTTTTCTCATATAATTTAAAAACCTGTTCGCTAGGCGTAGGCAAGACCATAAGCAAATAGGTAAACTGGGATAATACTAAAGAGTTAATCAGGGTGATTTTTCCACAAATTGACAGGTATTTTCCTTTCCATGGTAGTAAGATCTTATCTATTTTTGCTAACTTTCTATTAAAATGTATTGAAGTGAGATCATTTATTTCCTTTGGGATATGTATTCCGAGTATATCCACATCACCATCAGACCATTTTATTGGTAAACTACATGGTCATGTAAAAATTGTATTTTTTAGTGATCCAATACGTAATATAGTACATTTGTCATAATTTGGTTGTAATCCAGAGAGGTTAGAAAATGTATCTAGATCCTCTATGAGGCTGTGGAGGGATTCTAGTTGTGGATTTAAAAGAAAACATGAATCATCAGCGTACAATGACACCTTTGTTTTTAAGCCCTGGATTTCTAATCCTCTGATATTATTATTGGATCTGATTTTAATAGCTAACATCTCGATGGCCACAATAAATAGATATGCCGATAGTGGACAACCTTGTTTCACTCCTCTTGACAGTTTAAAACTTTCTGAGAAATAGCCATTATTTACTATTTTACACATAGGGTTACTATACATTATTTTGACCCATTTTATAAGAGATTCTCCAAAATTGAAATGCTCCAGGCATTTATATATAAACCCCAGTCGAACTTTATCAAATGCCTTTTCGAAGTCTGCTATGAATAGCAGGCCTGGTTTCCCATATTTTCCATAGTGTTCTATTGTTTCCAATACTTGCCTTATATTATCTCCAATGTATCTTCCATGTAAAAAACCTGTCTGATTAGAATGAATAATATCCGACAATACCTTTTTAATTCTATGCGTTATACATTTTGCTAGGATTTTTGCATCACAACACTGAAGTGTAAGGGGCCTCCAATTTTGTAAATGGACTGGATCTTTATATTTTCCACTTGTATCCTGTTTCAGTAATAATGAGATCAGACCTTCTTCTTGAGTGTCAGATAATCTACCATTTACATAGGAGTGGTTAAAACATGCTAATAACGGTCCTCTTAGTATATCAAAAAAGGTTTGGTATACCTCGACTGGTATGCCATCCAACCCTGGAGTTTTCCCAGACTTAAAGTCTTTAATTGCATCCAGAAGTTCCTCCTCTGTAATTTCACCTTCACATGAGTCTTTCTGTGTGGCTGTTAATTTGACATTATCAATAGAAAAAAAATCTCTACAATTAGCTTCAGTTAGAGGAGATGGAGGCGACTGAAAAGAAAACATATGCTTAAAGTACTTTGTTTCTTCCTTCAAAATATCATTTGGTGAATTATGGGTGACTCCGTCAATTGTAACCAGTTTCATTAAGTTCTTTTTGGTAGCATTCCTATGTTGAAGATTAAAAAAGAATTGTGTGCATTTTTCCCCATATTCCATCCAGTTTGCTTTATTTTTATAATATATTACACTTGATCTTTCTTGAATAAGTTTCTCCATTTCTTTTTGTTTTTCCTCTAATTTATTCTGAGACTCTGTTACAGTTTTTATTGCCATCTATCTGTTCTGTTAGACTTTCTATTTCCTTTCTTAGTATAAACTCTTTTGACCTAAATTGCTTTTGTTTTCGAGATGAGTACTGAATTGCATGGCCTCTAAAGGCACATTTAAAGGTGTCCCATACAATATTACTCCAGTCTTAGTCGCTTTCTGAATATGAGCTAAAACGGGTCATCTTATGGCTGTCGTAGTGGGTTATGTTATGTAGTAGCCAGTGAATGGTGTCGTTGATGACTGCGGGAGTAATGGTTGGCCTAATGGGGTTAGCCGTGTTTCACAATGGGAGTAATGGTTGGCCTAATGGGGTGAGCCGTGTTTCACAATGGGAGTAATGGTTGGCCTAATGGGGTGAGCCGTGTTTCACAATGGGAGTAATGGTTGGCCTAATGGGGTGAGCCGTGTTTCACAATGGGAGTAATGGTTGGCCTAATGGGGTGAGCCGTGTTTCACAATGGGAGTAATGGGAGGAAGTCAGGAAGCAGGTCTAGCAGTCAGTCTCTAACGCTCATATCTCTGTGTGTTGCTATCTGTATCTTCTGACACGTTGATGACACACTGTCTCCCACTCACACGCTGATGACACGCTGATGACACGCTGATGACACGCTGATGACACTCCCACTCACACGCTGATGACACGCTGATGACATGCTGATGACACGCTGATGACACACTGTCTCCCACACACACACACTGATGACACACTCATGACACACTGATTTCTGTGGTAGTCTGGACGTTATCAAAGTCAGATGTGATGTAACTAACAGAGATAGTTATCTATCCTCTGTTCACCTCTAACTGTTCCTGCCTTCTCCCTCCTCAAAGAGACCTGGAATGCTCCTGTTCTCTCCTGACCCGCTGTAACCAGCTCCAGAGCCCTAAAGAATGCAATCCTTTCATCAAATCAAGACTTCCTCTACCGGACCAAAACAATAGAACTCTATTGTGTGGGGCCTAGCTAATAAGATGACAATATGTAACCAAGCTCAATGTCAGCAGTGAACACCCTTTAGGATTGGTTTGATAATATAAATATCAAGAATACATGTATCAGTCTTACACCTCTTCTTGCCTTACTTTTACAGTAGGTCTGTATTTTACAATCGGCCAACAACATACTGTAGGCTATTGGTTACCAACATACTGTAGGCTATTGGTTACCAACATACTGTAGGCTATTGGTTACCAACATACTGTAGGCTATTGGTTACCAACATACTGTAGGCTATTGGTTACCAACATACTGTAGGCTATTGGTTACCAACATACTGTAGGCTATTGGTTACCAACATACTGTAGGCTATTGGTTACCAACATACTGTAGGCTATTGGTTACCAACATACTGTAGGCTATTGGTTACCAACATACTGTAGGCTATTGGTTGCCAACAACATACTGTAGGCTATTGGTTACCAACATACTGTAGGCTATTGGTTACCAACATACTGTAGGCTATTGGTTACCAACATACTGTAGGCTATTGGTTACCAACATACTGTAGGCTATTGGTTACCAACATACTGTAGGCTATTGGTTACCAACATACTGTAGGCTTTGGTTACCACATACTGTAGGCTATTGGTTACCAACATACTGTAGGCTATTGGTTACCAACATACTGTAAGGCTATTGGTTACCAACATACTGTAGGCTATTGGTTACCAACATACTGTAGACTATTGGTTGCCAACAACATACTGTAGGCTATTGGTTACCAACATACTGTAGGCTATTGGTTACCAACATACTGTAGGCTATTGGTTACCACATACTGTAGGCTACATACTGTAGGCTATTGGTTACCAAACATACTGTAGGGCTATTGGTTGCCAACATACTGTAGGCTATTGGTACCAACATACTGTAGGCTATTGGTTACCACATACTGGTAGGCTATTGGTTACCAACATACTGTAGGCTATTGGTTACCAACATACTGTAGGCTATTGGTTACCAACATACTGTAGGCTATTGGTTACCAACATACTGTAGGCTATTGGTTACCAACAACATACTGTAGGCTATTGGTTACCAACATACTGTAGGCTATTGGTTACCAACATACTGTAGGCTATTGGTTACCAACATACTGTAGGCTATTGGTTACCAACATACTGTAGGCTATTGGTTACCAACATACTGTAGGCTATTGGTTACCAACATACTGTAGGCTATTGGTTACCAACATACTGTAGGCTATTGGTTACCAACATACTGTAGGCTATTGGTTACCAACATACTGTAGGCTATTGGTTACCAACATACTGTAGGCTATTGGTTACCAACATACTGTAGGCTATTGGTTACCAACATACTGTAGGCTATTGGTTGAGACGGAGCTCATCTATGGCCAGTGCAGCAGTGTATGTGTGTTGACCTCAGTGTGACGTAGTAGAGTTCAGTGGGGGAGATTAGGCTAAAGCTTCAAACCTAGTTCACAGCATTAAATGTGTCATACGTCATTGCCTGGATAAGACCCAATTAAACAAGGCTTTTAAATATGTCATAGTGGTCTGGCGGCCAGTGGCTCTGAACTATGAATTCATCTTTACTGAGCCCACTCCAGATTAGGCTTAGTTTATGAGCTGTAGACCCCAGGGGAGAGTTTCTAGCCCCCAGCTATGATGGGGTGTGGGAGAGTGGAAATGACTGCTCTGTTCTGCGCCTGCCTCCAGGCTGCAGTGAGCTAGCCAGGCTATAGGAAGGGAGAAACCCTCCTATACTCCTCCTCCTCCTCCCACTCCATCCTCTACCCCTGCAGTGCAGCAGATTCCCAGGCTCACACTTCATCTACAGCTCCACTCCCCCCCCCCTGCACCTTTCTACCAATCATCCATAACTCCATTTGAATAGGAGTTTCCCTCCCTCCACACTTCACTGTTCATCCTCCCATCCCACTTTCCCACACTGTTAACACATTTTCTCAACACAAAAACAGTTGATCATCGTTTTCTCACAGATTCTTACAACACGACTAGCCTGAGCATTCTTATGGATAATAGTCCACATCTTCTTATTACTTAATTCATTAAAAAAGAAAGAGTTCCGAACTTGCAGCGCTTGTAGATGGCTGAGTCAGTCAGTGAAGGTTTAGAAGGTAACTAAATGCACCTTCTCGCTTGCTGCTATACCGTTGTCTGACTGTTCGCCTACTAGCAGCTGGGTGAATAATGGCGATTTACTGTCATGATATTAGCCGACATTGATGCTTGCTCTCGCTAGTATTCTTGCACGTCCAGACAATACATCGCATTCCTACGCTAGCCTGGAGTCGAGGCTACCTCTATGGTACTCTGACTGATCTGAAACTGGAAGCAGACAGACAGACAGACATGTCAGACAGACTGTGTCAATAATCCTGATGAAGACTTAACACGGAGTCCTGTGGGACACGGACCCGGAGTCCTGTGGGACACGGACCCGGAGTCCTGTGGGACACGGACCCGGAGTCCTGTGGGACACAGACATGGAGTCCTGTGGGACACATAGACCTAGTAGACCTAAGCCTAATCAAACACACCACCTAATATACAGGTAAACCAAACTCAAGCTTCCACACCATCAGCACTGGTCTGGAGCATCCATCTCTTTCTTTAGAAAGTTAAGGGGGGGGGGGGGGTTATGTAGTGCTGTCTGACTGCATAGCAGACAAGTGTTTCAACAAAGCTCGGTCACCTAAGTGTGACACCACCAGCGAAGGTGAAGTATTATGGCTCAATTCCAATACCACCCCCCGCCCCCCCACCCTTAGCCCTCCCACTTATCCCTCCCCCTTATCCCTCCCCCTCAGTTTTGGGCGATCCTCTGCGAGCCGCATTGAGTCGGAGTGGTGTTCCAATTCAACTGAGTGAAGGGTAGGGCCTTTTCAGCCTTCTAGTTGGCCCTCCAAACGAATCAAATAGACAGGCAGTCTTCCTATCGAGTGGTTATCAAAACTCCCATGAAGCTCTGCGACGCAAGGCTCTAAAGTTTCTTCAGGAAGATGGCTGACAAAAACACTAGGATGGAAGCAAATGTAAGTAATTAAAACTTCATAATGAATCATGCAAAAAATTTACAGTTAAGAGGAATAGGTTAGTTAGTGTAGAGAAACACAATTAGGCATATTTTGGGGTCATAAAGTTAATTTATGAATATTGCTATTTTAACAAGCTAGTTGACAAGCTAACATTAGCCAACCAGCTATACATTTAGCTTGCTATATGGGCGTTTTGACATTTGTATGAAATTGTAATTCGTGTTGTTTAATGTTTTAGGGAATCTAGCTTAATCATTTACTGCAAATTGAATGTACAAATTTGTAAGCTTACCTTGCTGTTCAGTTTTTAAAAAATCAAAGTCAATCACTTATAATTTCTTTATTGTAGTAACATTAGAGATTGAAGATATTTGCCAATGCAGGTAACGTAGCCGTAGCTAACTATTTTCTTGCTTATTTGTAGTGAAGGATAAAGATACCTGCATTCTATGGATGTGTAGCTATGTGTATGGACCCGAAAACGTTTGGTATAAATATTAGTTCAGAACAGTGGTTTTAATTGTTCAAGCTACAGTGCTTCCACTGGTAAGGACTGAGTGACGGAAATGTGACTGTTACATGTCAAACTGCTATGGAATGAAAGTCCTGCTTCAGTACTACTCCACATTGAACCACAGCCAGAGGATGGCTACATTACTACTCCACATTAAACCACAGCCAGAGGATGGCTACATTACTACCCCACATTGAACCACAGCCAGAGGATGGCTACATTACTACTCCACATTAAACCACAGCCAGAGGATGGTTACATTACTACTCCACATTAAACCACAGCCAGAGGATGGCTACATTACTACTCCACATTAAACCACAGGCAGAGGATGGCTACATTACTACTCCACATTAAACCACAGCCAGAGGATGGCTACATTACTACTCCACATTAAACCACAGCCAGAGGATGGCTACATTACTACTCCACATTAAACCACAGCCAGAGGATGGCTACATTACTACTCCACATTGAACCACAGCCAGAGCATGGCTACATTACTACTCCACATTGAACCACAGCCAGAGGATGGCTACATTACTACCCCACATTGAACCACAGCCAGAGGATGGCTACATTACTACCCCACATTGAACCACAGCCAGAGGATGGCTACATTACTACCCCACATTGAACCACAGCCAGAGGATGGCTACATTACTACTCCACATTGAACCACAGCCAGAGGATGGCTACATTACTACTCCACATTGAACCACAGCCAGAGGATGGCTACATTACTACCCCATATTGAACCACAGCCAGAGGATGGTTACATTACTACCCCACATTGAACCACAGCCAGAGGATGGCTACATTACAGATACATTGTTGTTCTGCTGTTCTCATTTGTTGGTAAGTACGGACACTACATGACCAAAAGTATGTGGACACGTGCTAGTCAAACATCTCATTCCAGAATTATGGGCATTAATATGGAGTTGGTCCCCCAGTTTGCTGCTATAACAGTCTCCACTCTTCTTGGAAGGCTTTCCACTAGATGTTGGGAGCCTGAACCATGAAAAACAGCCCCAGACCATTATTCCTCCTCCATCAAACTTTACAGTTGGCACTATGCATTGGGGTAGGTAGCGTTCTCCTGGCATCCGCCAAACCCAGATTCGTCCTTCGGACTGCCAGATGAGGAAGCGCGATTCATCACTCCATAGAACGCGTATCGACTGCTCCAGAGTCCAATGGCGGCGAGCTTTACACCACTCCATCCGACGCTTGGCATTGCACATTGTGATCTTAGGCTTGTGTGCGGCTGCTCGGCCATGGAAACCCATTTCATGCAGCTCCCGACAAGCAGTTCTTGTGCTGACGTTGCTTCCAGAGGCAGTTTGGAACTCGGTAGTGAGTGTTGCAACCGAGGACAGACGATTTTTACGCGCTTCAGCACTCAGCGGTGCCGTTCTGTGAGCTTGTGTGGCCTACCACTTCGCGTCTGAGCCGTTGTTGCTCCTAGATGTTTCCACTTCACAATAACAGCACTTACAGTTGACCGGGGCAGCTCTAGCAGGGCAGAAATTTGACGAACTGACTTGTTAGAAAGGTGGCATCCTATGACGTTGCCACGTTGAAAGTCACTGAGCTCTTCAGTAAGGCCATTCTACTGCCAATGTTTTGCTATGGAGATTGCATGGCTGTGTGCTCGATTTTATACACCTGTCAGCAACGGGTGTGGCTGAAATGGTCAAATCCACTAATTTGAAGGGGTGTCCACATACTTTTGCAGGAGGTGTATTTGTTGGATGAGAAATATAAGGAAAGCTATTACTGCCGCCAGTACAGGCATTGTGAAAAACAAGGCTCGTCGTAAATTAATTGCGTGGTATCCGTTGGCAGTTTGTGATGTGCGCGAGTGATGTAGTGATGTTCCATTAACTAGGCCTAATTTAGCTCTCCCTACCACTAGTTGCTCAGTTTGAGTGCCACTCCCCCACCGAGGGACACTCGAAAATGAGGAGGAAGGCTAAGGATTGGGATTGGGCCTGTTTCACTGTAGTCATAGTATTAATGTAACGGGATACAGGCCAGGGCTGAAGGCTACTTAAATTAGAACATCGAATTGAACAACACATTATCCTTTCTGTTCAGTTGAGCTCAACGTAACTACAAATAGGACAAATATTCACACAACCATCCATGGAATGCGCCAAATGCCTGATTGGTTTGGCAAAGATATAGTCCTAGGCTCCCTCTTGATCTGTAAACATCTTGAAGCTGATCTGTTTAAAACCTGTTAGGTGATACAGGTTCATCTACCATGTGGGCCTGTACGCCCCTGCCAGAGCTTCTATTGACAATAATGAGCAATGATCTCTTGAGCTGTGAAAACATGTTGGCTTAGTCTGAATCTCATGGTGATGGAAGTTCTACTGTCATGTCTGTATGCTGTAGCCACAGATAAGCTAAAAATACGCATCTATGGGTGACACTAGTTTCTCTCCTCTCACCCCCTGTGTGTGTGTGTCAGGGTTTCTGTTAGCCGGCAATTGATGGCTTTTGGCCAAAAAATATACACTGCTCAAAAAAATTAAGGGAACACTTAAACAACACAATGTAACTCCAAGTCAATCACACTTCTGTGAAATCAAACTGTCCACTTAGGAAGCAACACTGATTGACAATAAATGTCACATGCTGTTGTACAAATGGAATAGACAACAGGTGGAAATTATAGGCAATTAGCAAGACACCCCCAATAAAGGAGTGGTTCTGCAGGTGGTGACCACAGACCACTTTCAGTTCCTATGCTTCCTGGCTGATGTTTTGGTCACTTTTGAATGCTGGCGGTGCTTTCACTCTAGTGGTAGCATGAGACGGAGTCTACAACCCACACAAGTGGCTCAGGTAGTGCAGCTCATCCAGGATGGCACATCAATGCGAGCTGTGGCAAGAAGGTTTGCTGTGTCTGTCAGCGTAGTGTCCAGAGCATGGAGGCGCTACCAGGAGACAGGCCAGTACATCAGGAGATGTTGGAGGAGGCCGTAGGAGGTTAACAACCCAGCAGCAGGACCGCTACCTCCACCTTTGTGCAAGGAGGAGCAGGAGGAGCACTGCCAGAGCCCTGCAAAATGACCTCCAGCAGGCCACAATTGTGCATGTGTCTGCTCAAACGGTCAGAAACAGACTCCATGAGGGTGGTATGAGGGCCCGAAGTCCACAGGTGGGGGTTGTGCTTACAGCCCAACACCGTGCAGGACGTTTGGCATTTGCCAGAGAACACCAAGATTGGCATATTCGCCACTGGCGCCCTGTGCTCTTCACAGATGAAAGCAGGTTCACACTGAGCACATGTGACAGACGTGACAGAGTCTGGAGACGCCGTGGAGAACGTTCTGCTGCCTGCAACATCCTCCAGCATGACCGGTTTGGCGGTTGGTCAGTCATGGTGTGGGGTGGCATTTCTTTGGGGGGCCGCACAGCCCTCCATGTGCTCGCCAGAGGTAGCCTGACTGCCATTAGGTACCGAGATGAGATCCTCAGACCCCTTGTGAGACCATATACTGGTGCGGTTGGCCCTGGGTTCCTCCTAATGCAAGACAATGCTAGACCTCATATGGCTGGAGTGTGTCAGCAGTTCCTGCAAGAGGAAGGCATTGATGCTATGGACTGGCCCGCCTGTTCCCCAGACCTGAATCCAATTGAGCACATCTGGGACATCATGTCTCGCTCCATCCACCAACGCCACGTTGCACCACAGACTGTCCAGGAGTTGGCAGATGCTTTAGTCCAGGTCTGGGAGGAGATCCCTCAGGAGACCATCCGCCACCTCATCAGGAGCATACCCAGGCATTGTAGGGAGGTCATACAGGCACGTGGAGGCCACACACACTACTGAGCCTCATTTTGACTTGTTTTAAGGACATTACATCAAAGTTGGATCAGCCTGTAGTGTGGTTTTCCACTTTAATTTTGAGTGTGACTCCAAATCCAGACCTCCATGGGTTGATAAATTTGATTTCCATTGATAATTTTTGTGTAATTTTGTTGTCAGCACATTCAACTATGTAAAGAAAAAAGTATTTAATAAGATTATTTCATTCATTCAGATCTAGGATGTGTATTTTAGTGTTCCCTTAATTTTTTTGAGCAGTGTATATAAATGAAAAGCCGATAATTAGAACTGTTGCGGGCCAAAATGACCGGGAGAAGATAATCCCATTGCAAAATAATGCTTTTAATTCATTGATGGAAATACCAGTCAATGTAAATACATTTCATGCTTATAGGTCAATTTGCATAATTTTGTGGAAAAACTGCTACTATTTTTATTTCTCAAATGGTAATTGAAGCGCGCCTCCCATTCACAATTGAAGTGCAGGCAGCAGGCTGTCAGCGAGTCCCCCACCACTTTACAGTGTGAGCTGGAGGCAGAATGCATTTTCAAAACATACTTCATTGTTTAAAACCTGCATGTTTTATTTCATATTATGAGGCATTTCTTACCTTGCTTCAAAGTAGCCTATAAGCAAAATCCGACCAATTGCGAAGCTTACAATTTATCCTACCTTTTCTACCGTTCTGCGTGCCAGTTATGATTTTCATATGCGCATTTTCATGGAACAGTTTCATTTCTATAATAACGTTTTCCTTTCTCAGTCATTGTCACGTGGTTAGTCATACAAATCTGAATTAAAATGATACAAATTCAAAAGATAAAAGTCAACTAATGCGAATCACTAGCCTCTGCCACATGGACACATTGATACACCTTGATCCATTCCAAGGATTGGTGATGATCCATTCCACGGATTGGTGATGATCCATTCCAAGGATTGGTGATTATCGAGGGGGAGATTGTTTTAATATATTATCATCCGCAATGGATGTTAAAAAATCCACTTTCCTACATTTCCGCGCAGCAGTCCAGGAACTTCTATGCATGCTCAGGCGCGCGCCCTCAACATTATCAGGACAAAGAAACCTGACAAATGCTCATTGCTCACATGGAGCACTCCAAACAAAAGACAATAAAAAAAATAATTGACAAATCTCATAAATGATGGCTCACAAGTGTAGCAGGTTGTGAATTCTGCAAACAACGTTTCCAATCCGAGAATGAGAACGTTAAATGTCTGTAATTAATACATGCATTAACAGAAATGTATGTAACCAAATGATTGGAATTAATGGTATATTTACTACTGGTGACATACAGTATGTAATTGATGATAAATATAAATCAAAGGGCAAACAATTCACACAATGAAACAATGAATGCGCAAGAATTGTCTCAACATTTAAAATTATACTGAAGACAGTATCTTCACACATATATTAGATGCTTTTCACTTAGTAAACAGCTAGGCCTGTTGCCACGCTCGCTGCCCAACTTCCTGGCTTCCCAAATAGGCATAGACCTACGAGCTTGTGGTTTGAAATAATCCACAGCCATTTTTTAAAAGAAGCTAATGATCCTCAATTCCTCTGTGGCGAAGTCATGCTTTCTGGTGAAGTATTTTGACAAGACTGTAACTACCAATTGGATATCACGAAATTGGGGAGAAAAAGGGGTAAAAAAAAGATACCTTATTTACATAAGTATTCAGACCCTTTGCAATGAGACTCGAAATTGAGCTCAGGTGCATCCTGTTTCCATTGATCATCCTTGATGATTCTACATTGTGATTGGAGTCCACCTGTGGTAAATTCAATTGATTGGACATGAAATGGAAAGGCACACACCGGTCTATATAAGGTCCCACAGTTGACAGTGCATGCAAAAACCAAGCCATGAGGTCGAAGGAACTGTCAGTAGAGCTCCGAGACAGGATTGTGTCTAGGGAAAAGATATTGGGAAGGGTACCAAAAAATGTCTGCAGCTTTGAAGGTCCCCAAGACCTCCATCATTCTTAAATGGAAGACTTTGGAACCACCAAGACTCTTCCTAGAGCTGGCCGCCTAGCCAAACTGAGCAATCAGGGGAGAAGGGCCTTGGTCAGGGAGGTGACCAAGATCCCGATGGTCACTCTGACAGAGTTCCAGAGTTCCTCTGTGGAGATGGGAGAACCTTCCAGAAGGACAACCATCTCTGCAGCACTCCACCAACCAGTCCTTAATGGTAGAGTGGCCTGACGGAAGCCACTCTTCAGTAAAAGGCACTTGACAGCCCACTTTGAGTTTGCCAAATGGCCCCTACAGGACACTGACCGTGAGAAAAAAGATTCTCTGGTCGGATTCTCTGGTTGAACTTTTTGGCCTGAATGCCAAGCGTCACGTCTGCAGGAAAACTGGCACCATCCTTACGGTGAAGCATGGTGGAGGCAGCGTCATGCTGTGGGGATGTTTTTCAGCGGCAGGGACTGGGAGACCAGTCAGGATTGAGGGAAAGATGAACAGAGCAAACATGCTCCAGAACGCTCAGGACCTCAGACTGGGGGCGAAGGTTCACCTTCCAACAGGACAACGACCCTAAGCACACAGCCAAGACAACGCAGGAGTGGCTTCGGGACAAGTCTCTGAATGTCCTTGAGTGGCCCGACTTGAACCCGAACGAACATCTCTGGATAGACCTGAAAATAGCTGTGCAGCCACGCTCCCCATCCAACCTGACAGAGCTTGAGTGGATTCTGGGAGAAACTCCCCAAATACAGGTGTGCCAAGCTTGTAGTGTCATGCCCAATAAGACTCAAATTAATTTCATCCATTTGAGAATAAGGCTGTAACGTAACAAAATGTGAAAAAGTCAATGGGTCTGAATGCTTTTCAGAATGCACTGTACTTCCCTATTGGACCCACCGCTATGCCATTTCTCTCCTGTTCTATTGGTTTTCATATCAACTTTCTTTCGTTGTCCGGGAGCCAAAGGCACCATCGTCATAGCAACCCATCCCCATTGTTGCATCTTTAGAATCTCCCTCTTTCTAAGTTTCTAACAGAGATGTTTATTTCTGTCAGATATGGAACCGCTATCAGGTGCGCTGTTTAGAATGGTGTTTTCCCAGGTGTGCTGTTTTAGAATGGTGTTTTCCTGCAAATTGCATTTTGGCAAATGAAAATGACGTTTTATTGGCTGCTTCATTACATTTCTGTCATTCTGAGCACCGTGGGTGGACGCCCTAATGGGCTATGCACTCAATCCATAGGGGTCCGTAAAATGTCTCAAATCTTCCCGGTCACGTTGTCCGCCACAACATGGTGTGTGTGTCACCCCCTTTGTTTATCTGTGGGTGTTTTCTCCTCTATCCAACAACTAGCTGCAGTGTGGTCAGGGAACAAACACTGACTGCTTCACATGATTGACATGCTGCTGAATCGGGTTTCTAAACCAGGAAGAACTGCCAGTCTGTTAGTCAAATGACAGAACTTGGCTACTAGCATATGAATACTGGCCGTGTCCGAATACCCGTACTTGCGTTATGAACGGTAGGCATTTTTAGTATGCGATAAAGGAAAGGAAGAGACGGACCAGAATAGAAAAGCAGATGACATCAGTTGTCACTTTCAACCACAACCTTCAAGAACAACACAGATGATGTTGAATTTATCATCCAACGTTTTCTGTTTTCCAAGCTCTAAAATGGATAAAGATGCATTGTTACTAAATATGTGTTGTGTTTACTCACAACATTTTTACTGAACAAAAATATAAACGCAACATGCAACAATTTCTAAGATTTTACTGAGTTACAGTTCATATAAGGAAATCAGTCAATTGAAATAAATATATTAGACCCTAATCTATGGATTTTCACATGACTGGGAATAAAGATATGCGTCTGTTGCTCACAGATACCTTTAAAAAAAAGTAGGGGCGTGGATCAGAAAACCAATCAGTATCTGGTGTGACCACCATTTGCCTCATGCAGCGCAACACATCTCCTTCATATAGACTTGATCAGGCTGTTGATTGTGGCCTGTGGAATGTTGTCCCACTCTTCAATGGCTGTGTGAAGTTGCTGGATATTCTGGATATTGGCGGGAACTGGAACACGCTTCGTACACATCAATACAGAGCATCCCAAACATGCTCAATAGGGTGACATGTCTGGTGAGTATGCAGGCCATGGAAGAACTGGGACATTATCAGCTTCCAGGAATTGTGTACAGATCCTTGCGACATGGGGCTGTGCATTATCATGCTGAAACATGAGGTGATGGCGGTGGATGAATGGCACAACAATGTGCCTCAGGATCTCGTCATGATATCTCTGTGCATTCAAATTGCCGTCAATAAAATACAATTGGGTTCGTTGTCCGTAGCTTATGCCTGCCCATACCCATAACCCCACCGCCACCATGGAGCACTCTGTTCACAACATTAACATCAGCAAACTGCTCGCCCACACGACACCATACACGTGGTCTGCGGTTGTGAAGCCAGTTGGACGTACTGCCAAATTCTCTAAAACAACGTTGAAGGCAGCTTATGGTAGAGAAATTAACATTACATTATCTGGGAACAGCTCTGGTGGGACATTCCTGCAGTCAGCATGCCTATTGCACGCTCCCTCAAAACTTGAGACATCTGTGGCATTGTGATGTGTGACAAACCTGCTCATTTTAGAGTGGCCTTTTATTGTCCCCAGCACAAGGTGCACCTGTGTAATGATCATGCTGTTTAATCAGCTTCTTGGTATGCCACACCTGTCAGGAGGATGGATTATCTTGGCAAAGGAAAAATGCTCACTAACAGGGATGTAAACACATTTGAGAGAAATAAGCTTTTTATGCTTATGGTAAACATGGCACCAACACTTTACATGTTGCATTTATATTTTGGTTCAGTGTAAGTATGAATGAAGTCTAATAATGAAGTCTAATCTGATGTGTTGTGTTGGGGATGGGTGGGCATTAAATACTACTCTCCTGTCTGTTAGAATCAACCATTAGCTCATCCCAGGCTCTTCAAATAGAAACGACTACTCTGACCACTGACCAGTATTACTATACAGTACCAGTCAAAAGTTTGGACACACCTACTCATTCAAGGGTTTGTCTTTATTTTTACTATTTTCTACATTTGTAGAATAATAGTGAAGACATCAAAACTATGAAATAACACACACGGAATCATGAAGTAACCAATAAAAGTGTTAAACAAAATCAAAATATATTTTATATGTGAGATTCTTCAAAGTAGCCACCCTTTGCCTTGATGACAGCTTTGCACACTCTCGGCATTCTCTCAACCTGCTTCACCTGGAATGCTTTTCCAAAAGTCTTGAAGGAGTTCCCACAAATGCTGAGCACTTGTTGGCTGCTTTTCCTTCACTCTGCGGTCCAACTCATCCCAAACCATCACAATTGGGTTGAGGTCGGATGATTGTGGAGGCCAGGTCATCTGATGCAGCTCTCCATCACTCTCCTTCTTGGTCAAATAGCCCTTACACAGCCTGGAGGTGTGTTGGGTCATTGTCCTGTTGAAAAACAAATGATAGTCCCACTAAGCCCAAACCAGATGGGATGGCGTATCGATGCAGAATGCTAATGTCCGTTGCGCTTGTTTCTTGGCCCAAGTCTCTTCTTGTTATTGGTGTCCTTATAGTAGTGGTTTCTTTGCAGCTATTCGACCATGAAGGCCTGATTCACACAGTCTCCTCTGAACATTTGATGTTGATGTGTCTGTTACTTGAACTCTGAAGCATTTATTTGGGCTGCAATTTCTGAGGCTGGTAACTAATGAACTTATCCTCTGCATCAGAGGTAACTCTGGGTCTTCCATTCCTGTGGCGGTCCTCATGAGAGCCAGTTTCATCATAGCACTTGATGGTTTTTGGGACTGCACTTGAAGAAACTTTCAAAGTTCTTGAAAAGTTATTTATTGATTGACCGTGTCTTAAAGTAATGATGGATTGTCGTTTCTCTTTGCTTATTTGAGCTGTTCTTGCCATAATATGGACTTGGTCTTTTACCAAATAGGGCTATCTTTTTATACCACCCCTACCTTGTCACAACACAACACAAGAAATTCCACAAATTAACTTTTAACAAGGCACCCCTGTTAATTGAAATGCATTCCAGGTGACTACCTCATGAAGCTGGTTGAGAGAATGCCGAGAGTGTGCAAAGCTGTCATCAAGGCAAAGGGTGGCTACTTTTGAAGAATCTCAAATATAAAATATATTTTGATTTTGTTTAACACTTTTATTGGTTACTTCATGATTCCGTGTGTGTTATTTCATAGTTTTGATGTCTTCGCTATTATTCTGCAATGGAGAAAATAGTAAAAATAAAGACAAACCCTTGAATGAGTAGGTGTGTCCAAACTTTTGACTGGTAGTGTACATACAGTATTACTACACCAACCCAGTCACCGTCTTGTCTGTTAGCTCTTCCCAAGTCTCATGGAATAGGACCTACTACAGCGTGCCGTCTTGTCTGTTAGCTCTTCCCAAGTCTCATGGAATAGGAACTACTACAGCGTGCCGTCTTGTCTGGTAGCTCTTCCCAAGTCTCATGGAATAGGACCTACTACAGCGTGCCGTCTTGTCTGGTAGCTCTTCCCAAGTCTCATGGAATAGGACCTACTACAGCGTGCCGTGCCGTCTTGTCTGTTAGCTCTTCCCAAGTCTCATGGAATAGGAACTACTACAGCGTGCCGTCTTGTCTGTTAGCTCTTCCCAAGTCTCATGGAATAGGAACTACTACAGCGTGCCGTCTTGTCTGTTAGCTCTTCCCAAGTCTCATGGAATAGGAACTACTACAGCGTGCCGTCTTGTCTGGTAGCTCTTCCCAAGTCTCATGGAATAGGAACTACTACAGCGTGCCGTCTTGTCTGTTAGCTCTTCCCAAGTCTCATGGAATAGGACCTACTACAGCGTGCTGACCTTCATCATGTCAGACTATGACCATATTCCTAGTCCACCAATACGGCTGTAGAAGGCATAAATGATATATTACATCATTTACGGTACATAGTAAATTCCTGTAACTGAAATGGTGTTTCATCTGGTTGAGAATGTATCCTTTCAGTTATACATGATGAAGTGTTGGGTAGTGGGTGATGGTCGATTTGGGGTTCAGAATGTAATCTGCCAGACTGCATGGTAACAACAACACATCTCTCTGGAGTCAGTTACTGTAGATGGAAACATACAGCATTTACGGTGTTGACCTTAACCCATCAATGTTAAAGGTCAACATGGAGACAGATAATCACAAGTGAGCCGATGTGGTCAAGCTGAGCATTTGAATGGGTCATCAGCAAGCTGACTGGGGGGTTGAGTGTGTCTGAATGGGAGTAAATTAAAATAACATCCAACTAATAAAATGCAATAATAACATAATCCCTCAGTCCTGACCTCCCTATGGTTTACATGTCAAAGGGTCAATAATGACAAAATGGCTTTTACATTAAAGCCCCTTAAGGCAAACTAGGTGAGCTAAGCTGACTGCTGTAGTGTGTGTGTGTGTGTGTGTGTGTGTGTGTGTGTGTGTGTGTGTGTGTGTGTGTTCATAGACACTGTGTATTCTAGATTGATAGCCAGAGGAGAGGAGGGTGGTGTCGGTGACCTCAAGTTGACCTTGGTCTTCAGCTGTCTGTCAGAGATCAGCCTTTACTCTCCCTGAGGGTCAGGGGTCAACAGGAAGTGTCACAGGGTCAGTATGATGGTTATGTTATGAGGGGTATGATGGTTATATTATGAGGGGTATGATGGTTATATTATGAGGGGTATGATGGTTATGTTATGAGGGGTATGATGGTTATGTTATGAGGGGTATGATGGTTATGTTATGAGGGGTATGATGAGATGGTGTTTAAGATGGTTATGTTATGAGGGGTATGATGGTTATGTTATGAGGGGTATGATGGTTATGTTATGAGGGGTATGATGAGATGGTGTTTAAGATGGTTATGTTATGAGGGGTATGATATGATGGTGTTTAAGTGTGTAACTTACTCATGTTTAGGTAGTTTGCCCATTGAGCCAGTTGGCCCCAGTGAGTTAGGAGGCTGTTCTCCCATCAGCACATTCCTCTAGTGTGCGTCCCAAATGGCACCCTATTCCCTATATAGTGCACTACTTTTGACCTGAACCTTATGGGCCCTAGTCAAAAGTAGTGCACTATATGGGGCTGTGAATGAAGTGCCATTTGGAACTCATTTCTGTAGTCTGAATAGACTGGAAGCTGCTTTTGGCAGGGGAGATGGGGTGGGGTAACACTCATCCTGTCCTCTGCACTCTAATACATACAAACTGTAGCAGGTGTTGTTCACAAACGCTTGGTGATGTAGGCTTGTCCATGTTGCCCGGGTCATTTCCCGCTCTGTTTATGAATGTGTGGGTCTGTGTGATCTGTGGGAAATATGTGTCTCTAATATGGTCATACATTTGGCAGGAGGTTAGGAAGTGCAGCTCAGTTTCCACCTCATTTTGAGTGCCAGGTCTGCCTACAGCGGCCTTTCTCAATAGCAAGGCTATGCTCACTGAGTCTGTACATAGTCAAAGCTTTCCTTAAGTTTGGGTCAGTCACAGTGGTCAGGTATTCTGCCACTGTGTACTCTCTGTTTAGGGCCAGACAGCATTCCAATTTGCTCAGTTTTTGCTTGATTCTTTCTAGGGCTGGGTGGTATATCGTATTTTACGATATATCATTATTGATGGACGGACTGGTTTGGGTTTTTACTTGACCTTCTATAACGGTATTTGAACGTTTGGTTTGTTGAATGTGATATGCCGTGGGTAATAGTTTACAAGCTACTTTAGTCATCCCTCTCCACTCTCTCAATGCTGCTTTCCACACAGACCTAGCCCCGCCCCCTGTCACTCAAGGAGTGCGTTTGTTTGTTGCTTGACCACGAGACACTTGCGTTCTGTGTGCATGGTCAACGTAGCACATGCAACAATGTTGATGACAACGATGTATCCCACGTTGCTTCTTAATATAAAACCACAAGCGCTTTATAATTACACTTGGTTTGTGTTTCTTACATCAAACAGCTAGTTTATATTTTCTAGCAAATTTTAGCTAAATTGTGTTCGCTGCTAATCACTAGTTAGCTGGCTAGCTAATAAATGTACTGAGTGAGTGCAAGCGTGGCTAGCTAATAAATGTACTGAGTGAGAGCAAGCGTGGCTAGCTAATAAATGTACTGAGTGAGAGCAAGCGTGGCTAGCTAATAAATGTACTGAGTGAGAGCAAGCGTGGCTAGCTAATACATGTACTGAGTGAGAGCAAGCGTGGCTAGCTAATACATGTACTGAGTGAGAGCAAGCGTGGCTAGCTAATACATGTACTGAGTGAGAGCAAGCGTGGCTAGCTAATACAGCCTGATACCAGTGCTGGTGTCGGCCTAAATCAGCATGTTGTTTGTGCAACAGTATCTTCTAAATCAGAGAGGAATAGGCGAAGCATGTATATGTTGGCTACATGAAGAAACATGTAGCAAAAGATTTAAAGGGTCCCCTAGGAAACACTGACCATCACTTTGGTTCCTACCCTGTCACAATAACTCCTCCCTGGCATTTTGTCAAACAACACTGTATTCAAAGTGAACTCTATATTTTTTATATTCTAACTATAGAATTAGAATAATCATTTTATTTCCATGAGTCCAACAGTTCACCCAAGTGTTTTGATCTAAATCGCAAGTCCAAAATTTGGTTAAAAAAAAAAGGTATAGTTTTCTTGTCCATATCGTGCAGCCCTATGTGGCAGTGTGAAAAAGATCTCAAATGAGTGCAGGAAATTATTTGTGGTTGATTTGAACAGCATAAAACAGTCAGACTGGAGAAAGACCCATTTGAAATCCCTTGTATGTGTTGCCACCGTAGGGTCACGCAGTACAAATAAAACTTTCATTATTCAAAAATACTGTCATACCGTCAACATTAAATAAATAAAAAATACAGTGATAGTTTTTGCTTTCTCATAATTTGGTTGGGTCTAATTGTGTTGCTGTCCTGGGGCTCTGTGGGTTCTGTTTGTGTTTGTGAACAGAGCCCCAGAACCAGCTGGCCGAGGGGACTTTTCTCTAGGTTAATCTCTCTGTAGGTGAGGGCTTTGTGGTGGAATGTGTAGAATTGAACCGCTCTTTTCTGGATTTTGAAAACTAACTCTCTCCCCTTCTCCCCCTCCCTCTCTTTCCATTGTTATTTGACACACTGTTATGTTCTCTCTCTCACTTTCCTGACCAACCAGTCTCTCTCATCACATGTTTATCTTCCTCTATTCTGAGCTGCCTGACACCAAGGGGGGCCGCTTGTTCTCGTGTGGGTGGGTGGGTGGGGGGGGGGGGGGGGGCTAGATCCACATTCGGTGCAATGTGTGCAAGCCTTTAGACTTACCCCACTCCTATGTCTCCCTGTGACGCTATCGCTGGTCACACATAAGGGGATGTGTGTGTGTGTTTTGGGAGGGAGTTTAAGGAACGTGTGGATTTACTCTGTGCAGTAGTGGGAGTGTTGTTCAGGGCCAAACCCCGAAAGCTGACAGAATATCCCCTGTAAGGTTTTAGAAGTGTGCTATGATGCCTGAGGTTGGTTGAGTGGTTAATGTCACTGCTCTTGGCACCTATGCAGTCCCAACACACTTCTATAGACAATGTCCTCTGTCTCCCTCCCCATGTCTGTCCCTGTCAATGAAAACGGAATAATACAGGGAAAAGTGTGATGACTGACGTGTGAATGTCTGTAGACATGCTTTAGAGTTAGTGTTCTGTCTGGGTCCTCTTGAGGTCCTATATCTTGATTGATTGTAGTAGTGTTTGTGTGGTGACTGGAGACGAACATCCATTTGTGTGTCATGTTGATTGATGGTAGTGTTAGTGTGGTGACTGACTGGTGACTGTGTGTGTCTTGTTGATTGATGGTAGTGTTAGTGTGGTGACTGACTGGTGACTGGGTGTGTATCTTGTTGTTTGATGGTAGTGTGGTGACTGACTGGTGACTGGGTGTGTATCTTGTTGATTGATGGTAGTGTGGTGACTGACTGGGGACTGTGAGTGTCTTGTTGATTGATGGTAGTGTGATGACTGACTGGTGACTGTGTGTGTCTTGTTGATTGATGGTGTGTTAGTGTGATGACTGACTGGTGACTGTGTGTGTCTTGTTGATTGATGGTAGTGTGGTGACTGACTGGTGACTGTGAGTGTCTTGTTGATTGATGGTAGTGTGGTGACTGACTGGTGACTGTGAGTGTCTTGTTGATTGATGGTAGTGTTAGTGTGATGACTGACTGGTGACTGTGTGTGTCTTGTTGATTGATGGTGTGTTAGTGTGATGACTGACTGGTGACTGTGTGTGTCTTGTTGTTTGATGGTAGTGTGGTGACTGACTGGTGACTGGGTGTGTATCTTGTTGATTGATGGTAGTGTGGTGACTGACTGGGGACTGTGAGTGTCTTGTTGATTGATGGTAGTGTTAGTGTGATGACTGACTGGTGACTGTGTGTGTCTTGTTGATTGATGGTAGTGTGGTGACTGACTGGTGACTGTGAGTGTCTTGTTGATTGATGGTAGTGTGGTGACTGACTGGTGACTGTGAGTGTCTTGTTGAGTGATGGTAGTGTGGTGACTGACTGGTGACTGTGTGTGTGTCTTGTTGATTGATGGTAGTGTGGTGACTGACTGGTGACTGTGTGTGTGTCTTGTTGATTGATGGTAGTGTGGTGACTGACTGGTGACTGTGTGTGTCTTGTTGATTGATGGTAGTGTGGTGACTGACTGGTGACTGTGTGTGTCTTGTTGATTGATGGTAGTGTTTTGACTGACTGGTGACTGTGAGTGTGTCTTGTTGATTGATGGTAGTGTGGTGACTGACTGGTGACTGTGTGTGTCTTGTTGATTGATGGTAGTGTGGTGACTGACTGGTGACTGTGTGTTGTGTTTTCTTCTCTTCTTCTCTGTTAGGTGACATCACACAGAAAGGCTATGAGAAGAAACGAGCCAAGCTGCTGGCCCCCTTCCTCCCTCAGATCACCAGTAAGTACTGTACTTTATCTTCCTCTTCCTCCCTCAGATCACCACCAAGTAATTTATCTTCCTCTTCCTCCCTCAGATCATCACCAAGTACTTTATCTTTCCGCTTCCCTCCCTCAGATCACCATCCAAGTACTTCATCTTCCTCTTCCCTGTCCCCTCAGATCACCACCAGTACTCTTTATCTTCCTCTTCCTCCCTCAGATCACCACCAAGTACTTATCTTCCTCTTCCTCCCTCAGATCATCACCAAGTACTTTATCCTTCTCTTCCTCCCTCAGATCACCACCAAGTACTTTATCTTCCTCTTCCTCCCTCAGATCACCACCAAGTACTTTATCTTCCTCTTCCTCCCTCAGATCACCACCAAGTACTTTATCTTCCTCTTCCTCCCTCAGATCACCACCAAGTACTTTATCTTCCTCTTCCTCCTCTCTCTACTCCTCCTCCTCTTCTACTCCTCCTCCTCTTGACATTTATAATCCATGTGTCTCCTCATTGCAGAAGGTGACATAGTAGCATAGAGTTTTCAGCCTAACCCCAGACTCAAACGCATGCCTTTTCAACTATGTCTGTTTTGCATCAACAAGTCATTTTCATGGGGAAAGAATGCACAGAGAAACCAAAACTGTTCCACAAATAGTGGGTAGGCCTAACTGTACTGACCCCCGCCTCCCCCCATCCATAACATCTGTTTCATGGCTCTCTGCTGTGTCCTAGTGGTGGATTAAGGAACAGCGTCATTATTGCTCAAACATGTATTAAATGCAGCTAGCCTGGTGTTCCTTGACCCCCTTCACTTCAAACTTATTTTGCCCTTGTCCAATTTCTAGCTATGGCAGTTAGTCACTCGCTAGGGTGTAGCCTACAATTTCTTCCCCCTCTAGCTCTAGTCGGCCTGAACTCACGGGTCAGTTCCAGTCAGTCTCCATGGAAGGCCCGGAGTCAGCCAACAGACTGCCACTGGAGGATGTCCATGTCAAGTGTGTGTCAGTTTGTGGTGTGACCAAATCAAAATCATGCCTATTGGGGAACCCTGCTCTAGTGCATTAGTTATCAAACGATTGCTTAATTACCTGGAAAATGACTCCAGGAAAATCCCAAGTCTCTCAAGGTGTGGCACCATCTGATGTTGCTTCCGTATGTAACGTTGATAATGTACCCAGGTCGTCAGAGTTGGCATTAGGATGCTTTGAACCTGAAAGATCACCTCCTGCTTGTTCTGGCTGCGCATCGGAGCTTTCATCTGCTCGGTGTGTGTTTGTGTGTGTTTGTGTGTCTTTCTGAATGTTTGGGTGTGTGTGTGCAGTGTGTGTGTTAGAGCCAGGTGTCAACCATCCTATCTCTCTGTCCAGGTGTGGAGTTAGCTCTCCCAGACATCCAGCAGCAGTCGTCCTCCGGCCCTACCAGCGGTGAACCCAGCCCTGACTGTAGCCCTGCCAGTCCTGAGGCCTCTAGCCCCTCGTCTTCCTCCGGGGGGCGCAGAAACCGCAGCGGGGGGGCCAGGGACGACCGCTACAGATCAGGTACAGAGACACACACACACACAATGTACATTCATACAATCCTTTTGGAGATCACTGTATCTACCTCTATCACTCCAGTATCCCTGCACATTGTAAATATGGGACTGGACCTGACCCTGTTTATAGTTGACTTACTTCTCCTGTTCTTCTTATTTTTATTTTTATTTCTTGGTGTTTTTGTTCTACCTTGTTATTTTTAGTTCTACATTGATATTGATTACTGCATTGTTGGGGTTAGAGCAAGAAAGGCATTTTACTGTACTTCTGCACATGACATTAAAACTTGAAACATATTCAGATTCTCAACATTAAGCAGGAAACAATCCATGCTGTACAGAGGAAATGACATCCAACAACAACAACAGCAACAAGGATGTGTACAAGCCAAGTAGACTGAATAAGGGAATGTTGATACAAATGTTGAAATTGAGCTACATGTTAAGGTGCAACACACACTGAACACACACACTGAACACACACACTGAACACAATGGACACACACACACACTGGACACACACACACACTGAAAACACACACACAGACTGAACACACACACAGACTGAACACACAGACTGAACACACACACTGAACACACACACTGAACGCACTTACACACACTGAACACACACACTGAACGCACTTACACACACTGAACACACTCACACACACTGAACGCACACACACACTGAACGCACACACACACACTGAAAGCACACACACTCACACTGAACACACACACACACGCTGAACACACACACACTGAACACACACTGAACACACACACACTGAACACACACACACTGAACAAACACACACTGAACACACAAACACTGAACGAACACACTGAACACACAGACACACACGCACACACTGAACACACACTCACACTCACACTGAACACTCACACTGAACACACATACACACACTGAGCACAAACACACTGAACACTGAACACACACAGATCTCTACCATGCATGGCATGACAGTAGGAGTGGGGTGTGTGGGGGCTGGTGCCTGGCTTAAGGATAGTGGTTGGTTCTGATTGTGACTAAGGAGTCTAGTGGAAAACAGTTGGAGCAGTGACTGCCCTGCTCTTCCATCCCTGTATTACTGTCTGTTGTCTTTCTATTCTCTTGTTCCTGTTCTCATTCTTTCGCTCCCTCTCCGTCAGATATCCACACGGAGGCGGTACAGGCAGCGTTGGCCAAACACAAGGAGGAGAAGATGGCGTTGCCCATGCCCACCAAGCGCCGCTCAGCCTTCGTCCAGTCACCTGTAGACAACTGCACCCCTCCAGGTCACTACAATAGAGATCAAACTATGTTCTATGTAGGATTGCAAAATTTCACGAACTTTCCCCACATTTTCTGGTTTTCCAGATATCCTGGTTGGAAGATTCCTGGAATTTTTATGGAATAAGCAGGAAATCCGGGAGTCCTCCAACCAGGATTTTTGGGAAAACCAGGGAATTTTGGGAATGTTACCTCAATTTTGCAACCCTAGTTATATGTTTGAGTAGTACTCTGTGGTGGTCAATAACTAACCCTGGTCCTGAAGAGATACAGTACAGGGTGTGCACTGTGCATGCTTTAGTTCCAGCCCAGCATTAACACACCTGACTCAGCGCACTCAAAGTCTTGATGTAAAGTAACTTTTGATGAGTTGGTTTAGGTGTGGGTCGGGACAAAAGCCTGCACGCCCTGTAGCTCTTCAGGACCAGGGATGGTTGGGTATCACTGCTTTATCTCTAGTAAGAACAGGAGGATCCACTGTTCCCTGTTCACTAACAATGTAACCCACCTGGGATGTCACGGCAGTCATTTTGCCCACAAAGCTCACCACACGTCACCTAAATACTGTCTGGTAGCGTCTATCACCTCTTGTGAAATGAATTTCAACTGCACCTCACTAATGTCGCAGTTGTAAATGAGAACTTGTTCTCAACTGGCTTACCTGGTTAAATAAAGGTTAAATAAATAAAAATTTTTAAAATGTGGTTCTGTCTTCCTGTCAGACACGTCGTCAGCATCTGAGGACGAGGGTTCCCTGCGTCGCCAGGTGGCTCTGAGTGCAGTGCTGGCCCAGAGCCTCCAGAGCCCAGATTACTGGATAAACCGCTCAGTGCAGAGCTCCTCCACCTCCTCCTCCGCCTCCTCCACCCTGTCTCACGGAGAGAATAAGACTCCCACTTCCGCGCTGGCCGACATACTGGCAAGCACACGCATAGGTAACACACACACACTCTGCAAACACACACACACACACACACAACCACACGTGCATAGGTAGACCAATCCAAGATGGCATAGCAGTGCGGTCGTGTTCTTTGTTGTGTGTCTGTGTAAATAGCCAGTTTTTTTGTATTTTTTGTATTTTTCGTACATATTTCCCTATCACACTTTTAATCCTTCTACAAAATATACTTTCCTGCAACCCGCCTCACTCAATGTGGAACGGATTCTATTATTGACCTTTTATCTAGAATCTCCAGTTGATACCAGCTAGCCAGCTAACTAGCTACTTGCTATTAGCCACCGTTAGCGGTTTTCACCCAGAACATCGGATTTTCTGCCGGAATAACTGAATCACTGGACATTAACACCGGATCGCAACTAGCTAGCTGCAACCGAATTGGATGTTGCTGTTTGGCTAATCACCACTGCCCCTGAAGCAAGCACCAGTTAGCCTTGAGCCAGGCCCATATCCCGGCTATCTACCTCTCTGTCTACCGGACGGGAGTAGCCAGCTAACTAGCTACTTGCCATTAGCCACCGCTAGCGGTTTCTCACCATTGTCTGTGGCCTGCACTACCTACCAGCCAGCTCTAGTCTGGACTATTGTCCGCCAGTCTGCACTGTCTGCACAGCGCGTTATCGACCCAGAACATATCGGTTTTTCTGCCGGAATCACTGATTCACTGGACCTTTAACACCGGATCATCGTAGCTAGATAGCTGCAATCAAATGGACATTGTTGTTGGCTAATCAGCCTCGAGCTAGCCGTGAGCCAGGCCCTTCTCCCGGCTATCTACCTCTCTGTCAACCGGACGGGACCTCCTAGTGTTGACACGGAGCCCCATCGATCCAACACGACTGGTCTGCCGACAAAATCGTCTGATGTGATTACAACAGGTTCTGCTAGCCCCGGCCCGCTAGCACACTCTAGCCGTGGCCTCTTGCTTGCTAGTGCTATAGCAGCCCCCAAACTACCTCTGAACTCTCCTATTGCTGTTCACCGGACCTTATGATAACTCAGCTATACAGCTGATGCCTGCTGGACTGTTCCTTTATACGGTACCGCATCCTGTTTATGTTTTAGCCTCAGCCTAAACTTTGTTGCCATTACCAGCTGTTGTCTTAGTTCTCGAATAACACCTGTGATTGCTTTATGCCTCTCTCCCATTTCAATATGCCTTGCTTATTGCTGTTTCGGTTATTTCTTATTGTACTATTTCACTGTAGATCCCCCAGCCCAGCTCAACCTGCCATAGATGGCTCCTTTGTACCACCCCCCATACACGCGGAGACGGACACAATCAGTGCCTCCAGTGATGCTATCTCTTTCATCGTTACCCAACGCTTAGATTTACCTCCACTGTACTCATATCCTTCCTTATCATTTTCTGTACATAATGCCCTGAATCTATTCTACAACGCCCGGAAACCTGCCCCTTTTTTTCTCTGTACCCAACGCACTAGAAGACCAGTACTTAAAGCCTTTAGCCGTATCCTTATTCTACTCCTCCTCTGTTCCTCTGGTGATGTAGAGGTTAACCCAGGCCCTGTAACCCCCAGTATCACTCCTACTCCCCAGGCGTTATCATTTGTTGACTTCTGTAACCGTAAAAGCATTGGTTTCTTGCACGTTAACATCCGAAGCCTCCTCCCTAAGTTATTCACTGCGTTAGCACACTCCGCCAACCCTGATGTCCTAGCAGTGTCTGAATCCTGGCTTAGGAAGGCCACCAAAACTTCAGAATTGTCCATCCCCAACTACAACATTTTCCGTCTCGATAGAACTGCCAAAGGGGGTGGGGTTGCAATCTACTGTAGAGATTATCCAGGTCTGTGCCCAAACAGTTTGAGCTTCTACTTCTAAAAATCCACCTTTCCAGAAATAGTCTCTCACTGTTTGCCGCTTGCTACAGACCCCCCTCAGCCCCGAGCTGTGCCCTGGACACCATATGTGAACTGATTGCCCCCCATCTATCCTCAGAGTTCGTACTGCTTGGTGACCTAAACTGGGATATGCTTAACACCCCGGCCAACCTACAATCTAAACTAAACAAATTATCAACGAACCTACCAGGTACAACCCTAAATCTGTAAACATGGGCACCCTCATAGATATCATCCTGACAAATTTAACCTCTAAATACACCTCCGCTCTTTTCAACCAGGATCTCAGCGATCACTGCCTTATTGCCTGCGTCCGTAATGGGTCCCGCGGTCAAACGACCACCCCTCATCACTGTCAAACGCTCCCTAAAACACTTTAGCGAGCAGGCCTTTCTAATTGACCTGGCCCGGGTATCCTGGATGGATATTGACCTCATTCCGTCAGTAGAGGATGCCTGGTTGTTCTTTAAAAGTGCTTTCCTCTCAATCTTAAATAAGCATGCCCCATTCAAAAAATTGAGAACTAAGAACAGATATAGCCCCTGGTTGACTTGACTGCCCTTGACCAGCACAAAAATATCCTGTGGCGTACTGCATTAGCATCGAACATCCCCCGCGATATGCAACTTTTCAGGGAAGTCAGGAACCAATATACACAATCAGTTAGGAAAGCAAAGGCTAACTTTTTCAAACAGAAATTTGCATCCTGTAGCACTAACTCCAAAAAGTTTTGGGACACTGTAAAGTCCATGAAAAATAAGAGCACCTCCTCCCAACTGCCCACTGCACTGAGGCTAGGAAACACTGTCACCACCGATAAATCTACAATAATCGAGAATTTCAACAAGCATTTTGCTACGGCTGGCCATGCTTTCCACCTGGCTACCACTACCCCGGCCACCAGCTCTGCACCCTCCGCTGCAACTTGCCCATGCCCCCCCCCCCCCCCCCGCTTCTCCTTCACACAAATTCAGACAGCTGATGTTCTGAAAGAGCTGAAAAATCTGGACCCCTACAAATCAGCTGGGCTAGACAATCTGGACCCTTTCTTTCTAAAATTAGCCGCTGAAATTGTCGCAACCCCTATTACTAGCCTGTTCAACCTCTCTTTCGTAACGTCTGAGATCCCCAGAGATTGGAAATCTGCCGCGGTCATCCCCCTCTTCAAAGGGGGTGACACTCTAGATCCAAACTGTTACAGACCTATATCCATCCTGCCCTGCCTTTCGAAAGTATTTGAAAGCCAAGTTATCAAACAGATCACCGACCATTTCGAATCCCACCGTACCTTCTCCGCTATGCAATCCGGTTTCCGAGCTGGTCATGGGTGCACCTCAGCCACACTCAAGGTCTTAAACGATATTATAACCGCGATCGATAAAAGACAGTACTGCGCAGCCGTCTTCATCGACCTGTCCAAGGCTTTCGACTCTGTCAATCACCACATTCTTATTGGCAGACTAAATAGCCTTGGTTTCTCTAATGACTGCCTCACCTGGTTCACCAACTACTTCTCAGATAGAGTTCAATGTGTCAAATCGGAGGGCCTGTTGTCTGGACCTCTGGCCGTCTCTATGGGGGTGCCACATGGTTCAATTCTCGGGCCGACTCTATTCTCTGTGTATATCAATGATGTTGCTCTTGCTGCTGGTGACGCTCGGATCCACCTCTTTGCGGACGACACCATTTTGTATACATCTGGCCCCTCATTGGACACTTTGTTAACAAACCTCCAAACTAGCTTCAACGCCATACAACACTCCTTCCGTAGCCTCCAACTGCTCTTAAACACTAGTAAAACTAAATGCATGCTTTTCACCCGAACGCTGCTTGCACCCGCCCACCCGACTAGAATCACTACTCTCGGCGGGTCTGACCTAGAGTATGTGGACAACTACAAATACCTAGGTGTCTGGTTAGACTGTAAACTCTCATTCCAGACTCACAGTAAGCATCTCCAATCAAAAGTTAGATCTAGAATCGGCTTCCTATTTCGCAACAAAGCCTCCTTCACTCATGCTGCCAAACATGCCCTCGCAAAACTGACTATCCTACCGATCCTTGACTTCGGCGATGTCATTTACAAAATAGCCTCCAACACTCTACTCAGCAAATTGGATGTAGTCTATCACAGTGCCATCCGTATTGTCACCAAAGCCCCATATACTACCCACCATTGTGACCTGTACGCTCTTGTTGGCTGGCCCTAACTACATATTCATCGCCAAACCCACTGGCTCCAGGTCATCTATAAATCACTGCTAGGCAAATCCCCGTCTTACCTTAGCTCACTGGTCATCATAGCAACACCCACCCGTAGTCTGCGCTCCAGCAGGTATATCTCACTGGTCATCCCCAAAGCCAACACCACCTTTGGCCGCCATTCCTTCCAGTTCTCTGCTGCCAATGACTGGAACGAACTGCAAAAATCTCTGAAGCTGGAGACTCTTATCTCCCTCACTAACTTTAAGCGTCAGTTGTCAGAGCAGCTTACCGATCACTGCACCTGTACACAGCCATTCTGAAATTAGCCCACCCAACTACCTCATCCCCATATTGTTATTTATTTTGCTAATTTGCACCCCAGTATCTCTATTTGCACATCATCTTTTGCACATCTATCATTCCAGTGTTAATACGAAATTTTAACTATTTTGCACATAGCCTATTTATTGCCTTACCTCCATAACTTACTACATTCGCACACACTGTATATATATTTTCTGTTTGTATTTTTGACTTTATGTTTTGTTTACCCCATATGTAACTCTGTGTTGTTGTTTTTATCGCACTGCTTTGCTTTATCTTGGCCAGGTCGCAGTTGTAAATGAGAACTTGTTCTCAACTGGCTTACCTGGTTAAATAAAGGTGGAGGAAAAAATAATAATAAGACACACACGCATACAGTGAGGGGAAAAATTATTTGATCCCCTGCTGATTTTGTACGTTTGCCCACTGACAAAGACATGATTAGTCTATAATTTTAATGGTAGGTTTATTTGAACAGTGAGAGACAGAATAACAACAAAAAAATCCAGATAAACGCATGTCAAAAATGTTATAAATTGATTTGCATTTTAATGAGGGAAATAAGTATTTGACCCCTCTGCAAAACATGACTTAGTACTTGGTGGCAAAACCCTTGTTGGCAATCACAGAGGTCAGACGTTTCCTGTAGTTGGCCACCAGGCTGATGTTTGGCAACTCGAACCTTCAGCTCCCTCCACAGATTTTCTATGGGATTAAGGTCTGGAGACTGGCTAGGCCACTCCAGGACCTTAATGTGCTTCTTCTTGAGCCACTCCTTTGTTGCCTTGGCCGTGTGTTTTGGGTCATTGTCATGCTGGAATACCCATCCACGACCCATTTTCAGTGCCCTGGCTGAGGGAAGGAGGTTCTCACCCAAGATTTGACAGTACATGGCCCCGTCCATCGTCCCTTTGATGCGGTGAAGTTGTCCTGTCCCCTTAGCAGAAAAACACCCCCAAAGCATAATGTTTCCACCTCCATGTTTGACGGTGGGGATGGTGTTCTTGGGGTCATAGGCAGCATTCCTCCTCCTCCAAATACGGCGAGTTGAGTTGATGCCAAAGAGCTCGATTTTGGTCTCATCTGACCACAACACTTTCACCCAGTTCTCCTCTGAATCATTCAGATGTTCATTGGCGAACTTCAGACGGGCCTGTATATGTGCTTTCTTGAGCAGAGGGACCTTGCGGGTGCTGCAGAATTTCAGTCCTTCACGGCGTAGTGTGTTACCAATTGTTTTCTTGGTGACTATGGTCCCTGCTGCCTTGAGATCATTGACACGATCCTCCCGTGTAGTTCTGGGCTGATTCCTCACCGTTCTCATGATCATTGCAACTCCACGAGGTGAGATCTTGCATGGAGCCCCAGGCCGAGGGAGATTGACAGTTCTTTTGTGTTTCTTCTATTTGTGAATAATCGCACCAACTGTTGTCACCTTCTCACCAAGCTGCTTGGCGATGGTCTTGTAGCCCATTCCAGCCTTGTGTAGGTCTATAATCTTGTCCCTGCCATCCTTGGAGAGCTCTTTGGTATTGGCCATGGTGGAGAGTTTGGAATCTGATTGATTGATTGCTTCTGTGGACAGGTGTCTTTTATGCAGGTAACAAGCTGAGATTAGGAGCACTCCCTTTAAGAGTGTGCTCCTAATCTCAGCTCGTTACCTGTATAAAGACACCTGGGAGCCAGAAATCTTTCTGATTGAGAGGGGGTCAAATACTTATTTCCCTCATTAAAATACAAATCAATTTATAACATTTTTGACATGCGTTTTTCTGGATGTTGTTGTTGTTATTCTGTCTCTCACTGTTCAAATAAACCTACCATTAAAATTATAGACTGATCATTTCTTTGTCAGTGGGCAAACGTACAAAATCAGCAGGGGATCAAAAACTTTTTTCCCTCACTGTAGGTAAGACAAACAAACAAACAAACGGCCACGCATGCGTATGTTAACCCACACAGACACCCCTCTGTAAGTCTAACATCCTGCAATTTAACAGGGGTGGATGACAGACAACACAGGTTTAGGGGTCCTATAGAATATAACTTAAGATAAGTAAACCTTAACATCTGAGTGTCTAACTGTCCCCTCCTCTCCACCCTTTTCTCCAGAGAACAGTGTCCCCCCAGACGTGACGTCCTCCACCCCTGAGAGGGGTACAAGGGTGGACTCCAGAGTGGACCTGCCCCCCAATGCTATGCCCAGGGCGATGCCCCGAGGACAGAGCCGCACCAGCATGCTGGATACCACCGCTGACGGTATGCACACACACACTGCAGAACACACTGCAGAACACACTGTAGAACAGCAACACACTGTAGAACACACTGTAGAACAGCAACACACTGTAGAACACGCTGCAGAACAGTAACACACTGCAGAACACACCGCAGAACAGCAACACACTGTAGAACAGCAACACACTGTAGAACACACTGTAAAACAGCAACACACTGTAGAACACGCTGCAGAACAGTAACACACTGCAGAACACACCGCAGAACAGTAACACACTGCAGAACACACCGCAGAACAGTAACACACTGCAGAACACACCGCAGAACAGCAACACACTGCAGAACACACTGTAGAACCGCAACACACTGTAGAACACACTGTAAAACAAGCAAACACACTGTAGTAACACGCTGCAGAACAAGCAACACAACTGCAGAACACACCGCAGAACAGTAACACACTGTAGAACAGCAACACACTGCAGAACAGCAACACACTGTAGAACACACTGTAGAACAGCAACACACTGTAGAACACACTGTAGAACAGCAACACACTGTAGAACATACCGCAGAACAGCAACACACTGCAGAACACACTGTAGAACAGCAACACACTGTAGAACACACTGTAAAACAGCAACACACTGTAGAACAGCAACACACTGTAGAACACACTGTAGATCAGTAACACACTGTAGAACACACTGCAGAACAGCAACACACTGTAGAACAGCAACACACTGCAGAACAGCAACACACTGTAGAACACACTGTAGAACAGCAACACACTGTAGAACCGCAACACACTGCAGAACAGCAACACACTGTAGAACACACTGTAGAACAGCAACACACTGTAGAACCGCAACACACTGTAGAACACACTGTAGAACAGCAACACACTGTAGAACCGCAACACACTGTAGAACAGCAACACACTGCAGAGCAGTAACACACTGCAGAACACACTGTAGAACAGCAACACACTGCAGAACACACTGTAGAACAGGAACACACTGCAGAACACACTGCAGAACAGTAACACACTGTAGAACAGCAACACACTGCAGAACAGCAACACACTGTAGAACACACTGTAGAACAGCAACACACTGTAGAACCGCAACACACTGTAGAACACACTGTAGAACAGCAACACACTGTAGAACCACAACACACTGTAGAACACACTGCAGAGCAGTAACACACTGCAGAACACACTGTAGAACAGCAACACACTGCAGAACACACTGTAGAACAGGAACACACTGCAGAACACACTGCAGAACAGTAACACACTGTAGAACAGCAACACACTGTAGAACACACTGCAGAACACACTGCAGAACAGTAACACACTGTAGAACACACTGCAGAACAGCAACACACTGTAGAACACACTGCAGAACAGCAACACACTGTAGAACACACTGCAGAACAGCAACACACTGCAGAACAGCAACACACTGTAGAACACACTGCAGAACAGCAACACACTGTAGAACACACTGCAGAACAGCAACACACTGTAGAACACACCGCAGAACAGTAACACAACTGTAGAACACACTGGCAGAACAGCAACACACTGCAGAACAGCAACACACTGCAGAACACACTGCAGAACAGCAACACACTGTAGAACACACTGCAGAACAGCAACACACTGCAGAACACACTGCAGAACAGCAACACACTGTAGAACAGCAACACACTGCAGAACACGCTGCAGAACAGCAACACACTGTAGAACACACTGTAGAACAGCAACACACTGCAGAACACACTGTAGAACAGCAACACACTGTAGAAACGCAACACACTGTAGAACAGCAACACAACTGGTCGAAACACTGTAGAACAGCAACACACTGTAGGAACACACTGCAGAACAGCAACACACTGTAGAACACACTGTAGAACAGCAACACACTGCAGAACAGCAACACACTGTAGAACACACTGTAGAACAGCAACACACTGCAGAACAGCAACACACTGTAGAACAGCAACACACTGTAGAACAGCAACACACTGTAGAACACACTGTAGAACAGCAACACACTGCAGAACACACTGTAGAACAGCAACACACTGTAGAACAGCAACACACTGTAGAACAGCAACACACTGTAGAACACACTGTAGAACAGCAACACACTGCAGAACAGCAACACACTGTAGAACACACTGTAGAACAGCAACACACTGCAGAACAGCAACACACTGTAGAACACACTGTAAGACAGCAACACACTGTAGAACGCAACACACTGTAGAAACACACTGTAGATAACAGCACACCACTGCAGAACACACTGTAGAACAGCAACACACTGCAGAACACACTGTAGAACAGCAACACACTGTAGAACAGCAACACACTGTAGAACACACTGTAGAACAGCAACACACTGCAGAACACACTGTAGAACAGCAACACACTGCAGAACACACTGTAGAACAGCAACACACTGTAGAACAGCAACACACTGCAGAAACACTGTAGAACACACCGCAGAACAGTGACACTGCAGAATGTTACGAGCACACACGGCAGTAGACTGGTAAAACCTATCTTTTTTAATAATCTATTTTTACTCAGAGATAATGGTACATTGACAAGACAACATTAAATGAATCTCACCCTCATCCTCATTCCAGTTGTGTTGAGAATGCTGCTAACATGCTATATTTTGTTCTTTTTTGGGGTGATCTGTTTTTCTGCCGTACGTGTCATGTCTTTCATTACAAAAGGAAAGAGAAAAGGTAATATGAATCCAAAGGGAAGGGGTCTGGGGAGGGGCGATGGAGGGATTCCAATCAGCTTGCTTTGCCACCTCGTCTGTCGTCTGTCTATCCTGTCTGTTGGTCTACTCTTCACAGAGAGAAATACCGTTCTGTTTTTAACCCTGACTTTAGTTCTACTGTATCTACGTGTGCTGCTTTCAAAGCGCAGGCCATGTTGACCCTTAACTCAGTTTGTGTGTGTGCAGTTGTGCGCGTGCTTGTGTTGTGTTTGTGTCTCTGTATAATCGTGACTGTGTGTGTGTCTATGCTCGCTTGTGTCTATGATCATGTGTGTAACTCCCTACCTCTGTCCTGCCTCTACCTCTGTCCTGCCTCTAACCTCTGTCCTGCCTCTACCTCTGTCCTGTCTCTACCTCTGTCCTGCCTCTACCTCTGTCCTGTCTCTACCTCTGTCCTGCCTCTACCTCTGTCCTGCCTCTACCTCTACCTCTGTCCTGCCTCTACCTCTGTCCTGCCTCTACCTCTGTCCTGCCTCTACCTCTGTCCTGCCTCTACCTCTGTCCTGCCTCTACCTCTACCTCTGTCCTGCCTCTACCTCTGTCCTGCCTCTGCCTCTACCTCTGTCCTGCCTCTACCTCTGTCCTGCCTCTGCCTCTACCTCTGTCCTGCCTCTGCCTCTACCTCTGTCCTGCCTCTACCTCTGTCCTGCCTCTACCACCATGTCCAGGTGTACCAGTAAACAGCCGTGTGTCCACTAAGATCCAGCAGCTGCTCAACACTCTGAAACGGCCCAAGAGACCTCCACTCAGTGAGTTCTTCCTGGACGACTCAGAGGAGATCGTAGAGGGTAAGATGCATAGGACCTGCTCCAGTACTTTAAATAATATTCCAACATTTCTCCCCGCTTCCTGAAAATGATGTAATAAATGGAAAGCAGATATCTAACTATTTTATTTGCCTTTTATTAAACCAGTAGAGAACTCAACTTTACTCCTCTTTAATAAAACATTTTTCTTAATTTCCTCCTTCCATCCCTCTTTCCTCACCTATCCATCCCGTCCCTTTCTCCTCTCTGTAGTGCCCCAGCCGGACCCCAACACCCCCAGGCCAGAGGGCCGTCAGATCATCCCAGTGAAGGGGGAGCCCCTGGGGGTGGTCAGTAACTGGCCCCCGGCTCTGCAGGCTGCCCTGGCACGATGGGGGGCTACACAGGCCAAGAGCCCCGCTCTCACCGCCCTGGACGTTACCGGGAAACCCCTCTACACGCTGACATACGGTAGGTCTCACCATCTGAAATGGCCCTATATAGCAGGGAATAAGGAGACTTTTCAGGCTAACCCACAGTCTCAGATCAGACTTCTTTACTTTATAACTAATGTAATGTAGTTCATCTGCTCAAAAGATCACCCTCCTCTCAGTCAATCTATGGAGATCTGAGGTCATTTAATCTCCTCTGAGAAATTGCTCTTGTGACCGTGGTGTATCTCCCCTTCTCTCTCTCTCTCAGGTAAACTGTGGAGCCGCAGTCTGAAGCTGGCCTACACTCTGTTAAACAAACTGGGCACTAAGAATGAACCTGTCCTGAGACCTGGAGATACGGTAAGTGACAAAAACACACAGCTATTCAGACGAAATGACAGATGTCTTCACCTCTTCATCAATTCTGTCCTTCACACTTTACCACATTGATTGATCTTTATTTAAAAACATGATCTGTGTCTTCTCGATGCATTGCACAGACAACACAATAAGCTATGTAAGATATTCCCCATTGTGACGCAGGTTGACGTTTATTGTCATGAATCTTGCCCTGGAGGCAGAACTGAGCGATTTCCACTAGATGGGCCAGCTGCAAAGTCAAAATTGGCTATATCGTAAAATGTCATGAAAGGAAATATTCGCTTTTTGGTCTTAATTTAGGGTTAGGCATTAGGGTTAGCAGTGTGGTTAGGTTTAAAATCAGATTTTCTGGCTTTGTGGCTGTGCCAGTTAGTGACCACTCTGCAGAGCTGCCTCCAGTACATGAGTCATCCCAGTAAATGCCAACCTTCCATTGTGACGTACTGTCTGAAACTGTACTGTGTGTGTCTGTCCCCTAGGTGGCGCTGGTGTACCCTAACACTGACCCTGCGATGTTCTGGGTGGCTTTCTATGGCTGTCTCCTAGCAGAGGTCATCCCTGTACCTATAGAGGTGCCACTGTCTCGACAGGTAAGGACTGCAATGCCCACTTCAAATTGTATTTATCTAACCAGAATAAAATCCCTTGATATTAAAAATAAATACAAATAATCGATGGAGACCTGGCAAGATTCACCCCCTCAGCAGGAGAACACAGCAAAATACAGTGGCATTTAAAAGGTAATGATCTAGATTTTCTTTGTGTCATTTTCTAACTGTTATCTTTGTGTTTCACAACCCAGGACGCAGGCAGTCTTCAGATTGGCTTCCTATTGGGCAGCTGTGGGGTGGACCTCGCCCTGACCAGTGAGATCTGTCTTAAAGGACTGCCCAAGACTCCCCAGGGAGAGATCATGCAGTTCAAAGGTCAGCACACATGCACAAACTGCTGGCGTTGCTGGTAGATGGCCATTAGTATATCCATTGTCAGTTATGTGGATAGGTAGATGTCCATTGGCAGTTATGTGGATAGGTAGATGTCCATTGTCCCATACATATAGGTGTGTGCGCACTAATGGTCCTAATGCCACCTTTTAATAGCTACAACATTTCCATCCAAGGTGGATCTTTGTCCAGTCATCAAACTGACTTCTAGTAATGCCCTGTGTATCCATTATGCTGATGGTGTTGTTGTTCTGCCTCCCAGGTTGGCCCCGTATGAAGTGGGTTGTGACAGACACCAAGTACCTGACCAAGCCCTCGAAAGACTGGCAGCCCCACATCCCCACAGCCAACACAGACACAGCTTACATCGAGGTGAGACATGTCCACAGACACAGCTTACATCGAGGTGAGACATATCCACAGACACAGCTTACATCGAGGTGAGACATGTCCACAGACACAGCTTACATAGAGGTGAGGCATGTCCACAGACACAGCTTACATCGAGGTGAGACATGTCCACAGACACAGCTTACATAGAGGTGAGGCATATCCACAGACACAGCTTACATCGAGGTGAGACATGTCCACAGACACAGCTTACATAGAGGTGAGGCATGTCCACAGACACAGCTTACATAGAGGTGAGGCATGTCCACAGACACAGCTTACATCGAGGTGAGACATGTCCACAGACACAGCTTACATCGAGGTGAGACATGTCCACAGACACAGCTTACATCGAGGTGAGACATGGCCACAGACACAGCTTACATCGAGGTGTCCAGACCATTATGTGTGTATTTTATGGAAATGTGTGTTTTTTTATGCTAGTTTGTCTTTTGAGCACCAAGGCTCACGCAACCCACATGTCGGATAAACAATTTCACAAATTCGGCTGTTTTTAATCTTTGCTTACAATTTTTTTCCGTTATGTATACATTATTTAGTGTTTACACTTCCAAATTGTCAGGAAAAATAATATTTATAATACAAATAACCCTCCTTTTTCCTTGATCTCCTTCCTATTGTTATTATTACTATTATTATGATCATCATTATAATAATAAGTAATGTCATTATCATTAGTAGGCTTAGTATAGCAGCCTTGTATAGCCACCATCGAGCTGTAGGCCTAAGAGCGCATCCTGTTTAGTCTTTAATACCGTAACTTACTTAGGCCTATATTTCAATACTTATATAGGCTACTGTATCAATCAATTATTTAATTGTTTATGTCATCACACAGCATACGAGTCATTCATGATTTGAAATGCAATCAAGAATTTTAGTTTTTAAATAAAATAAAGTGACCATTGGATAATTAGCGTAAACAATAAATAGGCCTGAACTGTTCCATTTCGGCAAATGTATTCACGAATGAATGCGACTGTTTTTAGTCTTTGCTGTAATAAAGGCTTTACAAAAAAAACAAAAAAAACATTACAACAGGCTCTCTGGTACGGTATAATTTATTTAGTGTTGTTTACATTGTTCCAAACGGTCAGAAAAATTATATTGTAATCTAACAGCACCTGTTTGGCACACATAATATGCACGCAGCGCTTGCTCCTTACCTTATTTTTCTTGATCTCCAGTATTTTCCACAACTAGTCAAAACAAAAAAGTATGAAAAATGTATGCACTCACTTAACTGTAAGTCGCTCTGGATAAGAGCGTCTGCTAAATGACTAAAATGTAATTCCACACATCTGACTTCCCCTTTACCTCCTGAGCAACCAGTAAACATTCTCCCGTTTCGAGTTTATTTGTCACGTCCTCTGCATCCATTTTGCTGTCACATTTGTTACGGTGTGGTCCTCTGTAGCTCAATTGGTAGAGCATGGCGCTTGTAACGCCAGGGTACTGGGTTCGATCCCCGGGACTACCCATACGTAAAAATGTATGCACACATGACTGTAAGTCGCTTTGGATAAAAGCGTCTGCTAAATGGCATATTATTATTATTATTATTATTATTATTATTATAACCAATTTATTGATGTGATTATGATATGCTATAGGTCAGGCCATATTGGATGCATACATGTGTCACGTAAAGAGACCAAGGGTTGAGGGAATAGGGAATGTTTTTCCTAAACAAATTAGGGATTTCGGTAACAACTTTTCAGTCAGACATGGCCATAATTATGTTGCAGCTTCAGCAACATGGACAGCGTGATACACACTGATGATGTTCTGTGGTGGTCACTGCAGCAGGGAGGAGAGTGAGACAACGGGTGCTAGTCACACAGTCACTCGCTGTCTTTTGTTTTAACACAGAGCAGAAAGTCTGAGCCAGGACCAGCACAATCAAATCAATTGCGGTCGGACTCCCTCTAGTCATTTGTGTGTCTTAATTATTTCATTAAGCGGTTCGCTTAAAGCATCAGACAAGCACAGTGCATATAGTTGATTTGATTAAAACACATAGTCTATATATGGAAAAATATGTTTTTGGTCGAAAGAACAGACGACTCTTGGTCGACCAAGATTTGTTTTTAGTCGGGGACAGCCCTAGTGTCGCTGATTATTTTGTGATTGTGTTTATTTCTTCAACTCTGATTGTGTGTGTTGTTGTGCTCTCCCAGTACAAGGCCAGTAAAGAGGGGACAGTGATGGGAGTAGCCGTGTCTAAGATAGCCTTGCTGACACACTGCCAGGCCCTGACACAGGCCTGCAACTACTGTGAAGGTCAGTACATGATTAACACACACCACAGGAGGCTGGTGGGAGGAGCTATAGGACCGTTCTATTTATTCCATTCCAGTCTTTACAATGAGCCCGTCTCTCTCTCTCTCTCTAAAATATCATAGAATGGATAATTCTATTATATATATATAGATCTCTATCTATAAAATGTATCAGTATCTAGTACGATATACTAAAAGGTTATCTATCATATAAAGTCCCACTTAGTAGATATATATATAGCTCAAGATAGATGTCTGATATCATATTCTCTCTATCTATCTCTCATATTCAATATCTGCTATCTCTCTCTCTCTCGATATCTCTGTCTTATTCATACCCCTCTTCTCTCCAATCTATCCTCGTCTCCCTCGTCTCCAATCTACTCCCTCCTCGTCTTTATCTCCTATCGCTCTCCTCTGTCTATCCTCTCACTCGCTCCATCTCTCTCTCTCCTCTCTCCCTCATATCTCTCTATCTCTCTCTCTATCTCTCTCTCTTCTCTCCCTCTTCTCTCTCTATCTCTCTCTCTCTCTCATATATATACAGTTGAAGTTGGATGTTTACATACACTTAGGTTGGAGTCATTAAAACTTGTTTTTCAACCACTCCACAAATGTCTTGTTAACAAACTATAGTTTTGGCAAGTCGGTTAGGACATCTACTTTGTGCATGACACAAGTAATTTTTCCAACAATTGTTTACAGACAGATTATTTCACTTATAATTCACTGTATCACAATTCCAGTGGGTCAGAAGTTTACATACACTAAGTTGACTGTGCCTTTAAACAGCTTGGAAAATTCCAGAAAATGATGTCATGCTTTAGAAGCTTCTGATAGGCTAATTGACATCATTTGAGTCATTTGGAGGTGTACCTGTCAATTTATTTCAAGGCCTACCTTCAAACTCAGTGCCTCTTTGCTTGACATCATGGGAAAATCTAAAGAAATCAGCCTTAGAAAACAAATTGTAGACCTCCACAAGTCTGGTTCATCCTTAGGAGCGATTTCCAAATGCCTGAAGGTACCACGTTCATCTGTACAAATAATAGTACGCAAGTATAAACACCATGGGACCACGCAGTCGTCATACCGCTCAGGAAGGAGACGCACTCTGTCTCCTAGAGATGAACGTACTTTGGTGCAAAAAGTGCAAATCAATCCCAGAACAACAGCAAAGGACCTTGTGAAAATGCTGGAGGAAACGGGTACAAAAGTATCTATATCCACAGTATAAAACGAGTCCTAAATCGACATAACCTGAAAGGCCGCTCAGCAAGGAAGAAGCCACTGCTCCAAAACCGCCATAAAAAAGCCAGACTACAGTTTGCAACTGCACATGGGGACAAAAATCGTACTTTTTGGAGAAATGTCCTCTGGTCTGATGAAACAAAAATATAACTGAAAAAGGTGGTTGCTTGCAAGCCGAAGAACACCATCCCAACCGTGCAACACGGGGGTGGCAGCATCATGCTGTGGGGGTGCTTTGCTGCAGGAGGGACTGGTCCACTTCACAAAATAGATGGCATCATCAGGAAGGAAAATTATGTGGATGTATTGAAGCAACATCTCAAGACATCAGTCAGGAAGCTTGGTCGCAAATGGGTCTTCCAAATGGACAATGACCCGAAGCATACTTCCAAAGTTGTGGCAAAATGGCTTAAGTACAACAAAGTCAAGGTATTGGAGTGGCCATCACAAAGCCCTGACCTCAATCCTATAGAAAATGTTTAGGCAGAACTGAAAAAGTGTGTGCGAGCAAGGAGGCCTACAAACCTGACTCAGTTACACCAGCTCTGTCAGGAGGAATGGGCCAAAATTCACCCAACTTATTGTGGGAAGCTTGTGGAAGGCTACCCGAAATGTTTGACCCAAGTTAAACAATTTAAAGGCAATGCTACTAAATACTAATTGAGTGTATGTAAACTTCTGACCCACTGGGAATGTGATGAAATAAATGAAAGCTGAAATAAAACATTATCTTTACTATTATTCTAACATTTCACATTCTTAAAATAAAGTAGTGATCCTAACTGACCTAAGACAGGGAATTTGTACTAGGATTAAATGTCAGGAATTGTGAAAAACTTAGTTTAAATGTATTTGGCTAAGGTGTATGTAAACTGTCGACTTCAACTGTGTTTGTGTATATTCAGATCAGCTGTTAGACAAAGGACACTTTAGCCTCTGTGGATTCCCCTCAAGGGATCTAATGTTCTCTGAGACAGAGAAAGGGCACTTTAGCCTCTCTCTGTCTCAGAGAACATTAGATCCCTTGAGGGGAATCCACAGAGGCTAAAGTGTCCTTTGTCTAACAGCTGATCTGAATATACACAAACACAGTTGAAGTCGACAGTTTACATACACCTTAGCCAAATACATTTAAACTAAGTTTTTCACAATTCCTGACATTTAATCCTAGTACAAATTCCCTGTCTTAGGTCAGTTAGGATCACTACTTTATTTTAAGAATGTGAAATGTTAGAATAATAGTAAAGATAATGTTTTATTTCAGCTTTCATTTATTTCATCACATTCCCAGTGGGTCTGAAGTTTACATACACTCAATTAGTATTTAGTAGCATTGCCTTTAAATTGTTTAACTTGGGTCAAACATTTCGGGTAGCCTTCCACAAGCTTCCCACAATAAGTTGGGTGAATTTTGGCCCATTCCTCCTGACAGAGCTGGTGTAACTGAGTCAGGTTTGTAGGCCTCCTTGCTCGCACACACTTTTTCAGTTCTGCCTACACATTTTCTATAGGATTGAGGTCAGGGCTTTGTGATTTATAACATTTTTGACATGCGTTTTTCTGGATTTTTTTGTTGTTATTCTGTCTCTCACTATTCAAATAAACCTACCATTAAAATTATAGACTGATCATTTCTTTGTCAGTGGGCAAACGTACAAAATCAGCAGGGGATCAAATACTTTTTTTCCCTCACTGTATGTATCTTTAACCTTTGAAATGTTCCAATTCTTTCTGACTGTAATGTGATTTGTGTATTGAAATAAAGTATTTAAAATGTGTGTGTCCTCTCTCAGGAGAAACGTTGGTCAACGTGCTGGACTGTAAGAAGGACATGGGCTTGTGGCACGGGGTGCTAACCAGTGTCATGAACAGGATCCACACCATCACTGTACCCTACGCTGTCATGAAGGCCTGTCCCATGTCCTGGGTGCAGAGGGTCCACATACACAAAGGTAAGGCCACCGTTAGCCTTAGCTTTTTTATTGTAAATTGCATAGAGACTAGCACGCATTAGCATCCTAAACTGTATACTATGGATTAAGGTAGTCAGGGTCGGGTTCATTAGGAAAGAAGGCGTTGTCCGACGGAACATGATATTAGCTCCCTTGTTTCAGACTGTTTTTCTTCTCAGTTTCGTGCCTAATGAACATGACTCAGATGATTAGGGATTAGCATTAACACTACTATGTGTTGAGGCGATGAGATGTGAGCTGTCCCTCTTGTTTCGTGCCTAATGAACATGACTCAGATGATTAGGGATTAGCATTAACACTACTATGTGTTGAGGCGATGAGATGTGAGCTGTCCCTCTTGTTTCTCCCCTGCAGCACGTGTCGCCGTGGTGAAGTGTCGTGACCTCCACTGGGCTATGATGGCTCACAGAGACCAGAGAGACACCAACCTGTCCTCCATACGCATGCTCATAGTAGCTGATGGAGCCAACCCCTGTGAGTCATTCACACTCTCACACACACACACACACACACAGACACACACAGGGACCAGAGACACACCAACCTGTCCTGTGAGTCACGTATACATAGCAGCCGTGACTCATGATTGCTTTATCTATTCCCCAAACTATTATTTGTCCTTTCATTGACCTTTCAGAGTCTTCAAGCGGTGCCCTGCCTCTTGGTACACTATGATATGTATTTTTAGATGCAGTGCACACAACTTGCAAGAAACACATCTGATCCGGTCAATTGGATTCCTATAATCGGTTTGATTCTGAAGAGGGAAGCACATTGTTGACACTTTGTGCTGTCTTTCAGGGTCTGTGTCATCGTGCGACGCCTTCCTCAACGTGTTCCAGTCTCATGGGTTAAAGCCGGAGGTCATCTGCCCCTGTGCCTCCTCTCCTGAAGGTCTCACTGTGGCTATACGCAGGTAATACAACATACAGCTCTGTCTCTTTCTCAGATTCTCTCTCATTCACACTACACTGAGATCTTCCTCCCCCCCTCCCTCCAGGCCTGGTGCCCGTGGTACAGCCCTCCCTGCCAGGGCCATTCTCTCCATGGGCGGGCTGAGTCATGGGGTCATCAGGGTCAACACAGAGGATAAGAACTCTGCCCTCACTGTACAGGACGAGGCAGCGGAGCGGAACGCACGAAACAACACACGAGAAAAAACACCGCACGAGAAAACAACGCACCAGAGAAACACAAAAGACACCGAAACCACGCAGGAACAACCACGAGAAAAAACACCACCCAGAGAAAAACCAAAACAGAGAGAACACACACAAACCGCACAGAGAAAACACAACGGCAAAACGAGAAAACACCAAACAACCGAGAAAAACACACCGCAGAGAAAAAAAACACACGCACGAGAAAACAACACAAAACAACACGAAACACACCGCACTAGAAAACACCACACGAGAAACACACACCTAACGAGAACACACCACACGAGGAAAACACACACCCACATAAACACACCCACGAGAACACACAACACAGAAAACACACACATAACAACCGCACGAGAAAACACACCACAGAGAAACACCCACAAGAAACACCATCACCTCACGAGAAACACACCAGCAGAAGAAAAACACACCGAGAAACACACCCACACACGAAACACCAGCACCACAGACGAGAAACACACCCACGATAACACACCGACACGAGGAACACACCACACATCACGGAAACACACACACTGCACAAACAACCAGAACAAACAACCCACGATGAAACACAACCCACATAAAAACACAACACATAACACACGCACATAACACACCAACACCGCACACATAACACACATACGATAACACACCCACGAGAACAACACCACAGATAAAAAGCACACCAGCACTAGAAACACACCCACATAAAAACACACGAGAACACACACGACAAGACAACACCGCACGATGAAACACAGGCGAACGAGAAAACACACGCACGAGACACACGCAGAGAAAACACAACCACACGAGAACACACCGCACGAGAACACACGCCACGAGAAAACACCACGCACGAGAAACACACGCACGAGAACAACCCACGAGAACACACCGCACGAGAACACACCACACCGCACGAGAACACACCACGCACGAAACACACCAACGAGAACAACAACCACGAGAACACACACCGCACGAGAAACAACCAACCGCACGAGAGAAACACACACACGGAGAACACACCGCACGAGAAACAACCACACCGCCACGAGAAACACACCACACCGAAACACCGCAACGAGAACACACGACACGAGAAAACACCGCACGAGAAACACACCGACACGAGAACACACCGCACAGAAACAACACCCACGCACGAGAAACACCAACCGAGAAACACACCCACGAGAAACACCACACACGAGAACACACCCACGAAAACACACGCACAAAACACACCACACCCACAGAACACACCAGCACGATAACACACCGCACGAGAAACACACCGCACGAGAACACACCACACCGAGGAACACACCGCACGCACGAACACACCACGAGAACACCCCACGAGACAGCACACAGCACGAGAAACACACCACCACGAAAAACACACCGCACAGAACGACAACAGCAACAACCCACGAGAACACACCACACGAGAAACACCACAACGAGAAACACACCACGGAGAAACACCACACCCGCACGAGAAAACCAACCCACGGAAACACACAGCACGAAAAAACACAACCACACAGAACACACCAACAGAACACACACACACGCAGAAACACACCACACGAGAACACAACCACACGCAGAGAAACACACCACACGAGAACACACCACAACGACACAGAAAAACACGCACGAGAACCACACCACGGAGAACACACCACACCAGCACGAGAAACACACCCACGAGAACACACCCACGAGAAACACACCGCACCACACGAGAACACACAACGAAACACACCGCACGAGAAAACACACCACACAGAAACACACCGCACAGGAACACACCGCACGAGAACACACAGCACGAGAACACACACACCACACGGAAACACACCGACAGAACACACACCGCACGAGAACACACACACGCCACGAGAAACACACCGCACGAGAACACACCACACGAGAACACACCGCACGAGAACACACCAACCGCACGAGAAAACACAACGAAACCGACAGAAACACACCACACGAGAACACACCCGACGAGAACACACCGCACGAGAACACACCGCACGAGAACACACCACACACCGCACGAGAACACACCGCACGAGAACACACCACCACCACACCGCACGAGAACACACCGCACGAAACACACCGCACGAGAACACACCGCACTAGAACACACTCACGAGAACAACACCACACGATAACACACCACACAGAACACACCCAACACGAAACACACCCACGATGAACACACCTCACGAGAACACACCCACAGAAACACACCACACTATAACACACCACACTATAACACACCTCACTATAACACACCTCACTATAACACACACGCATAACACACTCACATAAAAAAACCTCACTATAACACACCACACGAGAAACACACCACATCTAAGAACACCCCAAACGAAACACAACCACACTATAAACACCACGAGAAACAAAACCCACGAAACACACAACTCTATAACAACACACGCGAGATAACACACCACACTATAACACACCTCACTATAACACACCACACGCATAAAAAACCTACATAAACACACCTACACGTAAAACCCACTATAACACACCACACCACACTATAACACACCTCACTATAACACACCTCACTATAACACACCACACCTCACTATAACACACCTCACTATAACACACCTCACTATAACACACCACTCTATAACACACCAGACCACACTATTGTGTACTGTTACTGTTAGTTTTCCTTTAAGAGTAGCTTTCTGTTCCTCACTGACTGACGATTTTACTGTGTCTTGTCAATGTCACTTCCCTGGTGTTAATTCTACTTGGCTCAGGGTTTTAGTCATTGCGTTAAAATACTTTAAGGTCGATGTCCGCGCCCCCGCGAAAATCGAATTAGCATAATAACAAATTCCCCATAAAACCCCATCAGTTTAAGCTAGAGATATCAACCGCATCCTCCTATGTAACACTTCCTCATCTGCCGTGAAAGGTGCCTGAGCTAGAGCGGTGTTTGTCAGACCATGAGACATCCTGAAAATCGGTCTTCTCACAATCGTCTGTAGCGTCCGAACGGTTTGGCCTAAAAACTATTATGACCCCTCTATGGACAGATGAGACTTTCACAAACACGATGCTATTCTCCGTTTTACTCTGTGTAAAGGTGAGACTCTCACGAACACGTCTGGCTCTAGGACTAGTCTGAAGGTCCCCCGGTACTAGTCGAAATAATTAATGGATGTACAGTATACAGTGCATTTGGAAAGTATTCAGACCCCTTGACTTTTTCCATATTTTGTTACGTTACAGCCTTATTCTAAAATGGATTACATTGTTTTTTCCCCTCATCAATCTACACACAATACCCCATAATGACAAAGCAAAAACTGGTTTTTAGATTGAAATATCACATTTACGTAAGTATTCAGAACCTTTACTCAGTACTTTGTTGAAGCACCTTTGGCAGCGATTACAGCCTTGAGTCTTCTTGGGTATTGCGCTACAAGCTTGGCACACCTGTATTTGGGGAGTTTCTCCCATTCTTCTCTGCAGATCCTATCAAGCTCTGTCAGGTTGGATGGGGAGCGTCACTGCACAGCTATTTTCAGGTCTCTCCAGAGACGTTCGATCGGGTTCAAGTCCGGGCTCTGGCTGTGCCACTCAAAGACATTCAGAGACTTGTCCCAAAGCCACTCCTGCGTTTTCTTGGCTGTGTGCTTAGGATCATTGTCTTGTTGGAAGGTGAACCTTCGCCCCAGTCTGAGGTCCTGAGCGCTCTGGAGCAGGTTTTCATCAAGGAGCTCTCTGTACTTTGCTCCGTTCATCTTTGCCTCGATCCTGACTAGTCTCCCAGTCCCTGCCACTGAAAAACATCCCCACAGCATGATGCTGCCACCACCATGCTTCACCGTAGGGATTGTGCCAGGTTTCCTCCAGATGTGACGCTTGGCATTCAGGCCAAATAGTTTCATCTTGGTTTCATCAGACCAGAGAATCTTGTTTCTCATGGTCTGAGAGTCCTTTAGGTGCCTTTTGGCAAACTCCAAGCAGGCTGTTATGTGCCTTTTACTGAGGAGTGGCTTCCGTCTGGCCACTGTACCATAAAGAGTGCTGCAGAGATGGTTGTCCTTGTGGAAGTTTCTCCCATCTCCACAGAGGAACTCTGGAGTTCTGTCAGAGTGACCATCGGGTTCTTGGTCACCTCCCTGACCAAGGCCCTTCTCCCCCGATTGCTCAGTTTGGCCGGGGGGCTAGCTCTAGGAAGTCTTGGTGGTTCCAAACTTCCATTTAAGAATGATGGAGACTACTGTGTTCTTGGGGACCTTCAATGCTGCAGAAATGTTTTGGTACCCTTCTGTGCCTTGACACAATCCTGTCTCAGAGCTCTACGGACAATTCCTTCAACCTCATGGCTTGGTTTTTGCTCTGACATGATCTGTCATCTGTGGGACCTTTATATAGGCAGGTGTGTTCCTTTCCAAATCATGTCCAATCAATTGAATTTACCACAGGTGGACTCCAATCAAGTTGTAGAAACATCTCAAGGATGATCAATGGAAACAGGATGCACCTGAGCTGAATTTCAAGTCTCATAGCAAAGGGTCTGAATACTTATGTAAATAAGGTATTTCTGTTTTTAATTTTTAATAAATTTGCAAACATTTCTAAAAACCTATTTTCACTTTGTCATTATGGGGTATTGTGTGTAGATTGCTGAGGATTTTTTTTATTTAATCCGTTTTAGAATAATGCTGTAACGTAACAAAATGTGGAAAAAATCAAGGGGTCTGAATACTTTCCGAATGCACTGTATATGGAGACTGTTTTAGTGAAAAAAATAAGGGGTTAAATACATATCAAATAAATAATGTTTCCTAATCTTTCTTATATCTGTCAGATATAGGATAGACACTTCAGAACAAACTTCCTTTAGAATTTTTTGGGGGGCTATCTGTTGTTCCATGTAGTGTATCTGTTTTTCAATGCATTTTGAATGGGCTAATAGAAGCAAGGCCAAATACAAATGTTCATCAGATAATTGTTTTCTATATATATTTTTTGACTTCAAGGGGTCTTCAAAATCAAATAATAACAAAATGATCCTTGGTATAACCTTCTTAAAACAGTTCCATATAGCTTAGTAGAACCCCCCTCCCCCAGCTTAGACAGGGCTTATACTCTTATGGGTTAATAATACATCGATTTTATATAGCACTTCTCATGGACCCAAAGATTCTTTGGGAAGTTGGTTTCTAATGTGCTTTGTGTGTTTTAGCCCTAATGTCATAGTCTCTTGTGGTTCAGCTCTGATGTGTATCGTGAAGCCAGACGGGCCTCCACAGCTCTGTAAGACCGATGAGATCGGAGAGATAGTGCTGAACTCCAGGGCTGGAGGAACCATGTACTATGGTCTACCTGGGGTCACCAAGAACACCTTTGAGGTGAGGAGAGGACTGTTTACTGAACTCTCTCATCAAGTTTCTGCATTTCTGTTCACAGTGGAGTGAAGTGCTACTGACACTGGGATGAAGCCATCAACCTCAGAACATGACTCCTCTGTCAGAGCATTACACTTCTAAAAGCTCTACCCCACCTTTATTATTCAGTGGTCATTGTTGCCTGTGGTGTCTATTACTAATTTGGGTTGCAAAGCTACCAGTAATTTACCAAAGTAATTTAGGTAATTAACAGAAAATCTATGGAAATCTATGGTACCTTTTGGTAACTTATGCTTGAATAACGTTTATATATTCATATTATGGTATTAATTTATTTGATCCATGTCCATATTGTCCATGAGTTTCTAGTGGATAGACCATATGGTTCAAGAGAAAATAGCCTAATTAAAAAAGCATCTAATCAACAATGGCATTCTTTTCAATTAACTCTGCAACTCTTCCCACTATTGACTTTTTTTTTTTTTTTTTTTTTTACAGCTGCCACCAGTTTGACACAAAAAAACATTGAGAACAAATACATTTTGACAGTGTGTAAAAATATATATATTTAAAGGATATTTCATGCTGAAACCCTCATAATGAACACCAATGGTATTCACTAAGTTGATGGTTTATATTTAGGGTAATGTTTTACAGCTTTGACATTCTATACTGAACAAAAATCTAAACGCAACATGCAACAATTTCTAAGATTTGACTGAGTTACAGTTCATATGAGGAAATCATATGGATTTCACATGACTGGGAATACAGATATGCATCTGTTGGTCACAGATACTATACCTTAAAACAAAAAAGGATAGGGGCGTGGATCAGAAAACCAGTCAGTATCTGGTGTGACCGCCATTTGCCTCATGCAGCGTGCCTCATCTCCTTCGCATGGAGTTGATCAGGCTGTTGATTGTGGCCTGTGGAATGTTGTCCCACTCCTCTTCAATGGCTGTGTGCGAAGTTGCTCGATATTGGCAGGAACTGGAACACGTTGTCGTACATGTCGATCCAGAGCATCCCAAACGTGCTTAATAGGTGAGTATGCAGGCAATGGAAGAACTGGGACATTTTCAGCTTCCAGGAATTTTGTACAGGTCCTTTGACATGGGGCCGTGCATTATCATGCTGAAACATGAGGTGATGGCGGCGGATGAATGGCACGACAATGGGCCTCAGGATGTCGTCATGGTATCTCTGTGCATTCAAATTGCCATCGATAAAATGCAATTGTGTTTGTTGTCCGAAGCTTATGCCTGCCCATACCATAACTCCACCGCCAGCATGCGGCACTCTGTTCAAAACGTTGACATCAGCAAACCACTCGCCCACACAACGCCGTAGACGTGTCTGCGGTTGTCAGGCCGATTGGACGTACTGCCAAATTCTCTAAAACGACATTGAAAGTGGCTTATGGTAGAGAAATTAGCATTCAATTATCTGGAAACAGTTCTGGTGGACATTCCTGCACTAAGCATGCAAATTGCACGCTCCCTCAAAACTTGATACATCTGTGGCGTTGTGTGACAAAACTGCACTTTTTTTTTTTCAGCACAAGGTGCACCTGTGTAATGATCATGCTGTTTAATCAGCTTCTTGATATTATCTTGGCAAATGAGAAATGCTCACAAACAGGGATGTAAACAAATTTGTGCACAGAATTTGAGAGAAATAAGCTGTTTTTGCGTATGGAACATTTCTGGGATCTTTTATTTCAGCTCATGAAACATGGGACCAACACTTTACATGTTGCGTTTATGTTTTTGTTCAGTATATTTTCTATTTTAAAATCATTTTATTTAATTATTTCATATATTTTACATGTGATTAGACCAGAGAGAGGACCAGAGATAATTACAAACACCTGTGATAATCTGAAGTACCCAAAAGGGCCAGTTAAAAATAATTCTGGTAGTTTACTGGTAAACTTTGAAAGTTTCCTCCCTTTGCAACTCTGGTCTCTATAGTCTCTCTCTAAACTGAGATGATGAGTTGTGTTGACAGTTAAACGTGTTGTTATTGTGATTGTTTGAAAGGATGATCGTTATAAAATATATTATGCCGTAACCTCCATAACTGAAAGTGTGTCCCTCTGTCTCTGTGTAGGTGATTCCTGTGAACCAGGCTGGAGCTCCGATAGGAGAGCTCCCCTTCACTAGGACTGGCCTGCTGGGTTTCGTAGGACCGGTAAGATAGAAAGACAGTCATTTCAGTCCCTACCTAACCTATTCAGTCTAAAGCTATGCTCGACTACTTTATATCATCAAAACATGTCAATTTAGAATAGAGTTTTGGTGTCTCTGTGTCTGTTGATGTCCAGAGAATGAAAATAAATTGTGACATTGCTTTGTGACCTTCTGCTATTTCCCTCCCTCCCTCCACAGGGCAGTCTGGTGTTTGTAGTGGGGAAGAACGAGGGGCTCTTGATGGTCAGTGGTAGACGACACAATGCCGACGACTTGGTGGCCACAGCCCTGGCCGTGGAGCCTGTCAAAACTGTCTACAGAGGGAGGTGAGTGTGTCAGGAGCACAGCGCTCTCGTGTGTTCTGCAGTCTTGTTTTGCTGTGGTGGCAAGGTGTGACAGTGCATTGTCTGTGGAGCCTGTCAAAACAGGTGAGTGCCACAGTCCTTCTGGTGTGCTGTGCTGTTTTGCTGAGGTGTTATGGTGTGAGAGTGTGCCGTGTTTTCTTGTCACTCCCTCTCCCCAGGGGGGTGGATCACTGTGTGCTCTGTGACAGTGGTCTCTGGTGTAAGAGTAGGTTGTTATTGTGGGTTGTGTGTGTTATTGCTGACGGACTCTCTCTCTCTCCCCGGTGTAGGATCGCTGTGTTCTCAGTAACGGTGTTCTATGATGAGAGGATAGTGATTGTAGCAGAACAAAGACCAGACGCTAGTGAAGAGGACAGCTTCCAGTGGATGAGCAGAGTCCTACAGGTACATTATATACATGTGTTCTCTCCTCTATAAATATATCTATCTCAGTGCTAAAGATAGAATACATATTGTCTCATATCTACTACAGGTACATAGTATTATCTATCCTTCCATCTATTTATCATCTACCTCCACTTGTCCAACTCACCCCACGCCATTTTTCTTTTATAACCAATCTCCATATGTTTCTTTCTAGTTATCTATCAGTGTGCACTTTTTAGGTTAAAGGTGCAATATGCAGAAATCGCTCCGCCATTTCCTGGTTGCTAAAACTCTAATAGTTTGCCTAATTTCAGTTTATGTGGCGAAACAAGCTAGGATAGTGTAGAGAATCATTGTACCATATAAACTGCTGTGAAATATATTTTCCATAACCAAAAATATTGTATTTTCAGCTGTTTGAAGCTGGTGTACAAAACCGAAAGTAAAAAAACTCCAAAACAAAACTTAAGAACAGGAAGCATAGAAACAGCTCACATAGAACAGATCTAATGCTTCTTAGACTTGCTTTCAATAAGAATGACAGATCAATACCTCACATTTCTATGTGAATTTGGTTGACACATTGCAGCTTTAAGTTAGTAGTAGTACATCAAGGCGATCAGACAGTACATTAACAGTAGGCCCTATGATGTGTGTTCTGTCTTCTATATGTCTGTACTGCCTGGCCCTGGTCCCGGCCAACACGTTACCCTGTTATAGCTAGCACCCCTAACAGCAGTGCATACAGTACTGGCATCACATAAACAGAATATCATGTGGTTTTCCTCTACAGGCCATAGACAGTATCCACCAGGTGGGTCTGTATTGCCTGGCCCTGGTCCCGGCCAACACATTACCCAAGACCCCCCTGGGAGGGATCCACATCTCTGAGACCAAACAGAACTTCCTAGAGGGGAACCTGCACCCCTGTAACATCCTCCTCTGTCCACACACCTGTGTTACCAACCTGCCCAAACCACGGCAGAAACAACCAGGTATTGGTGTGTGTGTGACTGTCTAATAATGACTGTCGATATCTCTGACACAGTGACATTTGACACTGTAGTAGGTGTGTATCGCTAACCCTCCTCTCCTCTGTGTACTAAAGTTGGAGTGGGCCCGGCCTCCATCATGGTTGGTAACCTGGTAGCAGGGAACAGAATGGCCCAGGCTGCAGGCAGAGAGCTGGGGGTGGTGGAGGAAGAGGGCCTGGTCAGGAAGGTAAGACACCACTGAGCCGAGCCAAGCTGTACTGGGCAGAGAGGTATGGTTGGTGTCGGCCCTACGGTGTGAAACAGACAGTACAGTACAAGCTCTACAGTCTGTCTTCGCTTCTCACCAACACTAAGAATGGAGCACGTCACAGCTGCTTTTACCAGCATTCACCAAATCGTATTTACCGTATAACAGAAGCGTTGTTCTGTCTCTACTCCATTGTATGTGGCCCCCCACGATGGTAAGAGTTTAGCAGACATACCTGCCACAGTAAGGCTGCTTCTGTCAGATGTGCTGCATTACAGTGACTGTGTATTATGTCTGCACCCCTGTAACTGTGAGCAGATCAATGGTGTGCACCCCTGTAACCGTGAGCAGATCAATGGTGTGCACCCCTGTAACTGTGAGCAGATCAATGGTGTGCACCCCTGTAACTGTGAGCAGATCAATGGTGTGGACCCCTGTAACCGTGAGCAGATCAATGGTGTGCACCCCTGTAACTGTGAGCAGATCAATGGTGTGCACCCCTGTAACTGTGAGCAGATCAATGGTGTGCACCCCTGTAACCGTGAGCAGATCAATGGTGTGCACCCCTGTAACTGTGAGCAGATCAATGGTGTGCACCCCTGTAACTGTGAGCAGATCAATGGTGTGCACCCCTGTAACTGTGAGCAGATCAATGGTGTGCACCCCTGTAACGGTGAGCAGATCAATGGTGTGCACCCCTGTAACTGTGAGCAGATCAATGGTGTGCACCCCTGTAACTGTGAGCAGATCAATGGTGTGCACCCCTGTAACTGTGAGCAGATCAATGGTGTGCACCCCTGTAACTGTGAGCAGATCAATGGTGTGCACCCCTGTAACCGTGAGCAGATCAATGGTGTGCACCCCTGTAACCGTGAGCAGATCAATGGTGTGCACCCCTGTAACGGTGAGCAGATCAATGGTGTGCACCCCTGTAACGGTGAGCAGATCAATGGTGTGCACCCCTGTAACTGTGAGCAGATCAATGGTGTGCACCCCTGTAACCGTGAGCAGATCAATGGTGTGCACCCCTGTAACTGTGAGCAGATCAATGGTGTGCACCCCTGTAACCGTGAGCAGATCAATGGTGTGCACCCCTGTAACTGTGAGCAGATCAATGGTGTGTGTGTGTTATTACTGTGCTGCAAGCCTGCTATTGTACTCCCTCCCCAGCCGTCCTGTTTCTGTCCACTAGTCTGTGGTTATCTTCTCCCCTAATGGGTGGATCCCTAGCCTTGCTTGCCAGAATGAGCCTATTACTAGTAGTTATCCCCAATCTCAAAGGCCTGACCCACACTCTCTCCTCTCAGCACCAGTTCCTGTCTGAAGCGCTACAGTGGAGAGCCCAGAGCGACCCTGACCATGTCCTGTATGTGCTGCTCAACGCTAAGGTAGCATGGTCACACCTCTTTAGATATTCCCATTTCTTATGCGCCTGTATGTTTTAACATATGACTGTGGAGGTGGTGATGAGTAACCTTGCCTAAGATTTGCGTTGGCTACCCTAGCTAATGCCTAGGGCCTAGGCTTTAGCTGAGTGGGCTAATACAGCCGTGTCTTACCACCTCTGTCTTCCAGGGGGCAGCAGTGTGCACAGCCACATGTGTTCAGCTGCATAAGAGAGCAGAGAAGATAACCTCAGCCCTGATGGAGAGAGGAGGCCTCAACACTGGAGACAACGTGGTGCTGCTATACCCCCCTGGTAAATTGAATGATCAACACACACACACACACACACACACACACACACACACACTTCACACCTATAGCTACTATGGCTGCCCATCCTCACCTATACAATTTTAGCCTTAGAATAGTCAGTTAAATGCTATTGTTAACAGTCCTCCCCTCTCCCTCGGTCTCCTCCCCCACCCTTCTTCCTTTCTCTCTCTTTGTCTCCTCTCCCTCCCTCCCTCCCTCCCTCCCTCCCTCTCTCTCACCAGGCATTGATCTGATAGCTGCGTTCTATGGCTGTCTGTATGCGGGGTTGATCCCTGTAACAGTGCGGCCCCCTCACCCCCAGAACCTGGCTGCTACTCTGCCCACCGTCCGCATGATCATCGACGTGAGTCAACTACAGCCACCAAGATGTTTTCACATAACCGCTTTATGAAAGATGCTAGGCCTCAAAATACACAAACATATGTTTGTGCTATGAAAACCTTAGTAACTGCTTTGCTAACTGCTGAAAACTTTGGTAACTGCTGAAATTATCTTGGAAATTATTTTTTCAAATTCCTCCCTGTTTGTCTGTGTGTGTTGCAGGTGAGTAAAGCTGCATGTATCCTAACCACCCAGCTCCTCATGAGGATCCTCCGGTCCAGAGAGGCTGCTGCCAGCGTCAACATCAAGACCTGGCCCACTATCATAGACACAGGTACTGTGGGCAAATCCCAAATGACACCCATGACACACTATTTTCACATAATAGTGCACTACTTTCGACCAGAGCCACATAGGGTAGTGTACACTATACAGGGGTTAGGTCACTAGGGTGTCATTTGAGAGAGGTTTCAAGTTGATTTTTCATGTGTAATGAATACATTGGAGATGTTCCTTTTAACTGATGGACTCTGTTTGCCTTCTCTCTGTGGGTGTCCTTTCTAGACGACCTCCCCAGGAGGCGCCCCCCCCAGCTCTACAAGCCCCCCACAGCAGAGATGCTGGCCTACCTGGACTTCAGTGTGTCCACCACAGGCATGCTGACCGGGGTCAAGGTAAGGGCATTACAGTAGCATGTACACACCTAGATACTATGTCCATCTCAGGAGAAATGATCACACAGACATTATTTTGCCTGTTGAAATGCATCTTGTTTCTCTCTCCTTTCACACTCACTCTCTCTCTCTCTCTCTCTGTCTGGCTCTCTCTCTCATTTGTTTCTCTCTGTCTCTGTCTCTCTCTCTCTCTCTCTGTTTCTGTCTCTCTATCTCTCTGTCTCTATCTCTCTGTCTCTATCTCTCTATCTCTCTGTCTCTGTCTCTCTGTGCTGTGTGTGTCAGATGTCCCACTCAGCGGTCAGTACTCTGTGTCGCTCCATCAAGCTACAGTGTGAGCTCTACTCCTCACGCCAAATAGCCATCTGTCTGGACCCCTACTGCGGCCTGGGCTTCGTACAGTGGTGCCTCTCCAGGTAAGACACACAGATGGGCTGCGATGATTTCACCTACATTTGTGTAATCTTTGATCTTGCCCAGTCTTCTCTATGCCGCTTCTATGTAGCTCCTATGTAGTTCTGTGATCTAGTGTTGTTGGCAATGCGGCTGATCTCTATTGAGCAGAAAAGTGACAGCAGCTTTTTACATTGTGTAATGACTAGAGAAAGTTCTATATATTGTGTGTGTGTAGTGTGTACTCGGGTCACCAGTCCATCCTGATCCCCCCTATGGAGTTGGAGATGTCCTTACCTCTGTGGCTGAGCACCCTGAGCCAGTACAAGATCAGAGACACCTTCTGTTCCTACTCTGTCATGGAGCTCTGCACCAAGGGCCTGGGTACACAGACCGACGCTCTCAAGGTGAGGAACACACACACACACACACAGTCTACCGCCAATGGCTAGAAATGTGTTGGTTCCAGAATCAGAAATCTGTCAACTGTATCCTGTACACACACCAGAGGAGGCTGGTGGTAAGTGTAATGTCTAGGAGTCTCCACCCTTTGTGTGTGCAGGCGCGGGGTGTGAACCTGTCATGTGTGAGGAGCTGTGTGGTGATAGCAGAGGAGCGTCCCCGGCTGGTCCTGACCCAGTCCTTCTCCAAGCTGTTTAAAGACCTGGGCCTCTCCCCCCGCGCTGTCAACACAGCTTTCGGATCCAGGGTCAACCTAGCCATCTGCTTGCAGGTGGGCCCCAGCACACACAGGCACGCACGCACAAACACATGCAGGTAGTCGCAAAACATGCATACACACACACACACACACACACAGCTGGATCTAAACAACGATGATGGTGACTCATTTTGACTTTTTAGATGAACAATCACTAACTTCCCTTTCTGTTTCTCTGCAAGGGTACTGCTGGACCAGACCCCTCCACCGTCTATGTAGACATGAAGTCCCTCCGCCATGACAGGTAAGGATAGCTAGCGGACATCACTAAGGTTTTTACCCAGGGTTTTTCCTGGTCAGGTCACATGGTCATGTATAACCGCACGTCAGAGAATGGAGACAGTCAGTCTGTCTGTCTGTGTTTTCCAGGGTGAGGTTGGTGGAGCGAGGAGCCCCCCAGAGTCTTCCCCTCATGGAGTCAGGCACTGTAAGCAAATGGCACTGAGATGACTAAAGCTTACCGTGTGCTTCTCAGTCTAAACAGTTCACTCATATATTATGACATTTTGTGACGTTTTGGTCTTCGGCAATATTTTTTTGGGCTGTTCGTGAGGCAAGTCGAAGTTCGGTAGCCGAAGTCTAATCCCCTTCGTCTATGATTGTTCAACAGTACTACTCCTAGTAGGAGTGGGAACATGAAGTGTTTGTTGTCACTCAACAAGAGACAACTAATTTTCATGCAAATTGTTTCACTTGAGAAATACTGCACCAAACATCTTAATGACTAAGACCTTCAAAATTAATGACAGATTTCTTGATTTATCTTAGATTAATTTGGACTATTTTGAAGGAGTGTTTCTGGTTAAGTTGTTGCTACGGTGGCTCAAGAGGGATAAACAACAGTAATATTGCTGTTTTTCAAGCGACGGTCTTTAGGGAGTATGAGAGCACAGACGGTTGCTTCGCCTAGCCGAGTTCTGCTAGGAGCAAACCAAACCTATGTATGAGGAAGCCTTTAGACTGTGTTTTGACCTCTTGCCTCTAGTGAAACTTCCTCTTGTGTCAGTGGGGTTGTCAACTAAACCTTATCTCCCTGTCTGCAGATTCTTCCAGGGGTGAGGGTGATCATCGTGAACCCAGAGACCAGAGGTCCGCTGGGGGACTCTCATCTAGGAGAGGTGAGTGTGAAGACACCACAGAGGACCAGGTGGTGGGGATGTATGGTCAAGTTGAAAGGGGTTTGCTGTGAGACTATTGTAGCGAAGACTTCTCCTTTTGTACTCTACAATCATTTAACCCCATCACCTTGCTCTACTACGACCTACTCAATATATTTAGCCTGTTGTCTTTCTCTATCTCTCACCCTGGTTAATGACTGTCTCTTCTGTTCTTCAGATCTGGGCTCAGAGCCCCTAGCTACTACACGATACACTGAGTATACCAAACATTAGGAACACCTTCCTAATATTGAGTTGCACCCCCCCATTTGCCCTCAGAACATCCTCAATTCGTCGGGGCATGGACTCTACAAGGTGTCGAAAGCGTTCCACAGGGATGCTGGACCATGTTGACTCCAAAGCTTCCCATAGTTGTGTCACGTTGGCTGGATGCCCTTTGAGTGGTGGACCATTCTCGATACACACAGGAAACTGTTGAGCGTGAAAAACCCAGCAGCATTGCAGTTCTTGACACAAACCGGTGTGCCTGGCACCTACTACCATACCCCATTCAAATGCACTTCCATCTTGTCTTGCCCATTCACCCTCTGAATGGCACACATACACAATCCACGTCTCAATTGTCTGAAGGCTTAAAAATCCTTCTTTAAACTGTCTCCTCCCCTTCATCTACACTGATTGAAGTGGATTTAACAAGTGACATCAATAAGGGATCATAGCTTTCACCTGCTATTCTACACATTATGCCATCGGGTGGAGAGAAATGTTTGCAATATGAGACTAACTAAATCAATGGGGGGCCCCCTGGTCGGTAATTCGATCATGATTACTAAGTTTAGATAGTTTAGCTGCCAGCTAACTTAGCAATTATTAATTTTTTTAGCTTACTTGGGCTAATTGACTGACTATCAGTGACTGACATGAGGAAAAACTGCTGATGCACAACCAAATTTCGAAATGTCACCTTGTGTATTCTACTATTCTAACTATCTACAGGAAGTTGAGACCTCGACTGAGTTCCAATTAGTATTATTTGTATATATACAGTACCAGTCAAAAGTTTGGACACCTACTCATTCAAGGGTTTGTCTTTATTTTTACTATTTTCTACATTGTAGAATAATAGTGAAGACATCAAAACTATGAAATAACACATATGGAATCATGTAGTAACCAAAAAAGTGTTAAACAAATCAAAATGTATTTTATATTTGAGATTCTTCAAATAGCCACCCTTTGCCTTGAAGACAGCTTTGCACACTCTTGGCATTCTCTCAACCAGCTTCACCTGGAATGCTTTTCCAACAGTCTTGAAGGAGTTCCCACATATGCTGAGCACTTGTTGGCTGCTTTTCCTTCACTCTACGGTCTAACTCATCCCAAACCATCTCAATTGGGTTGAGGTCGGGGGATTGTGGAGGCCAGGTCATCTGATGCAGCACTCCATCACTCTCCTCCTAGGGCGGCAGGTAGCTTAGTGGTTAAGAGCGTTGTGCCAGTAACCGAAAGGTCGCTGGTTCTAATCCCCGAGCCGACTAGGTGAAAAATCTGTCGATGTGCCCTTGAGCAAGGCACTTAACCCTAATTGCTCCTGTAAGTCGCTCTGGATAAGAGCGTCTGCTAAATGACCAATTATTATTATTATTATTATTATCCTTGGTCAAATAGCCCTTACACAACCTGGAGGTGTGTTGGGTCATTGTCCTGTTGAAAAACAAATGATAGTCCCACTAAGCCCAAACCAGATGGGATGGCGTATCGCTGCAGAATGCTGTGGTAGCCATGCTGGTTAAGTGTGCCTTGAATTCTAAATAAATCACTGACAGTGTCACCAGCAAAGCACCATCACAACTCCTCCTCCATGCTTCACGGTGGGAACCACACATGCGGGGATCATCCGTTAACCTACTCTGCGTCTCACAAAGACACGGCGGTTGGAATCAAAAACTCATATTTGGACGCATCAGACCAAAGGACAGATTTCCACTGCCCATTGCTCGTGTTTCTTGGCCCAAGCAAGTCTCTTCTTCTTATTGGTGTCCTTTAGTAGTGGTTTCTTTGCAGCAATTCGACCATGAAGGCCTGATTCACGCAGTCTCATCTGAACAGTTGATGTTGAGTTGTGTCTGTTACTTGAACTCTGTGAAGCATTTATTTGGGCTACAATCTGAGGTGCAGATGAACTTATCCTCTGCAGCAGAGGTAACTCTGGGTCTTCCTTTCCTGTGGCGGTCCTCATGAGAGCCAGTTTCATCATAGCGCATGATGGTTTTTGGGACTGCACTTGAAGAAACTTTCAAAGTTCTTGACATTTTCCAGATTGACTGACCTTCATGTCTTAAAGTAATGATGGACTGTCGTTTCTCTCTGCTTATTTGAGATGTTCTTGCCATAATATGGACTTGGTCTTTTACCAAATAGGGCTATCTTCTGTATACCCCCCCCCTACCTTATCACAACACCACTGATTTGGCTCAAACACATTAAGAAGGTAAGAAATTCCACAAATTAACTTTTAAGAAGGCACACCTGTTAATTGAAATGTATTCCAGGTGTCTACCTCATGAAGCTTGTTGAGAGAATGCCAAGAGTGTGCAAAGCTGTCATCAAGGCAAAGGGTGGCTACTTTGAAAAATCTTAAATATATTTTGATTTGTTTAACACTTTTTTGGTTACTACATGATTCCATATGTGTTATTTCATAGTTTTGATGTCTTCAATATTATTCTACAATGTAGAAAATAGTAAAAATAAAGAAAAATCCTTGAATGAGTAGGCGTGTCCAAACGTTTGACTGGTACTGTATATAAAGACATAAACAATTATTTATTTATTTGTTTGGAATTGTTCTGAGGGCCTTCAAAAGGGGGACCACCAGTTGCCCATATCTGATGCAGAGGATGATGAAACCCTCTCACTCTCTGTTTAGATCTGGGTTCAGAGTCCCCACAGTTCCAGTGGTTACTACACCATCTATGGAGAGGAGAGCTTGCAGGCGGACCATTTCAACACGCGGCTGAGCTTCGGGGAGCCCCACACCCTGTGGGCCAGGACAGGATACTTGGGTTTCGTCAAGAGGACAGAGCTACTGGGTGCCACTGGAGGTTAGGGACTCTTATAATGTAACCATCCTAGCATTTAGCATGTTATGGACTCTCCCAAGTGAGATATCTTTCTTGGGTTTGTGGTCATTCTCACCCCCAGCGGTTGCTACACCAAACCAATCTGAAGAGTTGTTCTGTTTAGTTGTACAAGGCATGTTCATTCTGTTTTAGGATCATCTCACCTAATGTCATTTATGCAGGTGAAAGGGGGTAGATTGTGCTTTCAAACCAACCTGATTTTTAAAGGCCCAGTGCAGTCAAAAATGTGATTTTCCTGTGTTTCTTGTAAATGTATTTTATTTTATTGTCACATACACTAGATAGGTGCAGTGAATGAGGTTGGTATAATACTGTGAAATTGCGAAAATGATGATAATGCCCTTTTAGTGTAAGAGCTGTTTGAAAAGATCGCCTGAAATTTCAGCCTGTTTTGTTGGGATGGAGCTTTGGCCTGCCTGGTGACATCACTAGGCGGTAAATTGGTTCATAGACCAATAAGAAAGAGAGCTCCAAACCGGTCTGCCAATAACGGCTAGTTTTCACTTATCCCCTCCCAACTCAGACCACTCCCAGACAGTCTTAGCTAAGTTCTTGCTTGGGAAATTGCTCTTTGCTATGAAGCTATTTTTGTTTATTTTTTACAATTTTAATTGAAAGCAATCACATTAAGGTACTTAATTGTTACCCGGAAATGATTTGATATTGAGATAAAAACGGCTCCATTGGATGTTGGGTTTCTAAGCAGTCTGTGTTGATGACTATCTATTTTCTCTCCTGATCCGTCTGCCTTCCCTTCAGATCGTCATGACGCTCTGTTTGTGGTGGGCCAGCTGGATGAGACGCTGGAGCTCAGGGGGCTTCGATACCACCCCATCGACATCGAGACCTCTGTGTCCCGGGCACACCGCAGCATTGCTGAGAGGTGATACACCAGTCTGTTCTGTTGTCTGCTCAAACACACACTGTACATACAGTACCAGTCTAAAGTTTGGACACACCTACTCATTCCAGGGTATTCTTTATTTGTACTATTTTCTACATTGTAGAATAATAGTGATGACATCAAAACTATGAAATAACACATATGGAATCATGTAGTAACCAAAAAAGTGTTAAACAAATCAAAAAATATTTGAGATTCTTCAAATAGCCACCCTTTGCCTTGATGACAGCTTTGCACGCTCTTGGCATTCTCTCAACCAGCATCATGAGGTAGTCACCTGGAATGCAGTTCAATTAACAGGTGTGCCTTCTTAAAAGTTAATTTGTGGAATTTCTTACCTTCTTAATGCGTTTCAGCCAATCAGTTGTGTTGTGACAAGGTAGGGGGGGTATACAGAAGATATCCCTATTTGGTAAAAGACCAAGTCCATATTATGGCAAGAACAGCTCAAATAAGCAAAGAGAAACGACAGTCCATCATTACTTTAAGACATGAAGGTCAGTCAATACGGAAAATGTCAAGAACTTTTAAAGTTTCTTCAAGTGCAGTCGCAAAAACCATCAAGCGCTATGATGAAACTGGCTCTCATGAGGACCACGACAGGAATGGAAGACCCAGAGTTACCTCTGCTGCAGAGGATAAGTTCATTAGAGTTACCAGCCTCAGAAATTGTAACAGACACATCTCAACATCAACTGTTCAGAGGGGACTGTGTGAACCAGGCCTTCATGGATTTGCTGCAAAGAAACCACTACTAAAGGACACCAATGGACATTAGACCGGTGGAAATCCTTTGGTCTGGAGTCCAAATTTGAGATTTTGGGTTCCAACCGCCGTGTCTTTGTGAGACGCGGTGTGGGTGAACAGATGATCTCCGCATGTGTATTTCCCACCATAAAGGATGGAGGAGGAGGTGTTATGGTGTGGGGGTGCTTTGCTGGAGACACTGTCTGTGATTTATTTAGAATTCAAGGCACACTTAACCAGCATGGCTACCACAGATTTCTACAGCGATACGCCATCCCATCTGGTTTGGGCTTAGTGGGACTATCATTTGTTTTTCAACAGGACAATGACCCAACACACCTCCAGGCTGTGTAAGGGCTATTTTACCAAGAAGAAGAGTGATGGAGTACTGCATCAGATGACCTGGCCTCCACAATCCCCTGACCTCAACCCAATTGAGATGGTTTGGGATGAGTTGGACCGCAGAGTGAAGGAAAAGCAGCCAAAAAGTGCTCAGCATATGAGGGAACTCCTTCAAGACTGTTGGAAAAGCATTCCATGTGAAGCTGATTGAGAGAATGCCAAGAGTGTGCAAAGCTGTCATCAAGGCAAAGGGTGGCTATTTGAAGATTCTCAAATATAAAATATACTTTGATTTGTTTAACACTTTTTTGTTTACTACATGATTCCATATGTGTTATTTCATAGTTTTGATGTCTTCACTATTATTCTACAATGTAGAAAATAAAGAAAAACCCTTGAATGAGTAGGTGTGTCCAAACTTTTGACTGGTACTGTATATGCTTCACTAGGTGTATTGTAACATGATATGACTGTTGTGGTCTCTCTCCCAGAGCTGTATTTGACAGTGACATATACTGTATCTAGTATAAACCCACATGCTTGGTTTCCTTGGTGATGAGTAAGAACTGGAAGGGTACACCGTGCTCTAACCCACTGAACCATTGGAACCAGTTGAATGTTGAACTTGATGGGTGACTGTCTCTCTCTCTCTCCAAAGTGCTATGTTCACGTGGACGGCTGAATGTTAACTTGATGGGTGACTGTCTTTCCACAGTGCTGTGTTTACGTGGACCGCTGAATGTTAACTTGATGGGTGACTGTCTCTCTCTCTCTCCAAAGTGCTATGTTCACATGGACGGCTGAATGTTAACTTGATGGGTGACTGTCTCTCTCTCTCTCCAAAGTGCTATGTTCACATGGACGGCTGAATGTTAACTTGATGGGTGACTGTCTCTCTCTCTCTCCAAAGTGCTATGTTCACATGGACGGCTGAATGTTAACTTGATGGGTGACTGTCTCTCTCTCTCTCTTCTCCAAAGTGCTATGTTCACATGGACCGCTGAATGTTAACTTGATGGGTGACTGTCTCTCTCTCTCTCTCTCTCTCTCTCTCTCTCCACAGTGCTGTATTCACATGGACCGCTGAATGTTAACTTGATGGGTGACTGTCTCTCTCTCTCTCTCTCTCTCTCTCTCCACAGTGCTGTGTTCACGTGGACCAACTCCTGGTGGGTGGCAAGCTGCCGTCGGCTCCTCGGATCTTCCTGTCCTTGGCTGCATGTTCTACAGGACACCACCTGATGTTTGTGGTGGTCATCGTTCCGGGGGTCATACCTCACTCTCGGGGAGAAACAGAGGATGCACTCGACTGTTCCTGGCGACACTGGACCCATAATGTTAAACTTGATGTGGTGACGGGGCCCGGCCCCATACACACGGGGTGTGCTGGTTGGGATCCACGGGTTAGATGGCAACCCTGGGACGTAGTGGCAGGGGACCGGGGGTGTAGGAGGCATGGACCCTGGTGCTGTGGTGGCTAAGGGGTCCTGGATGGGGATGCAGACCGATTGGGGTGTGGTGGCATGGGACCCGGGGGTGATGCTCAATCCTGGGATGAGAGCAGGGATGCACTCGGGTGTAGGATCTATGGCGATCCAGCTGGGCATCTACGGGCCTATACATGTGGTGTAGGAGGATGGGGATCCCAGGCTATACACACTGGGGTGTAGGCTGGCTATGGGGATCCACTGGGGTGTAGGATGGCTATGGGGATCCACTGGGATGTAGGATGGCTATGGGGATCCACTGGGTGTAGATGGCTATGGGGATCCACTGGGTGTAGGATGGCTATGGGGATCCACTGGGGTGTAGGATGGCTATGGGGATCCACTGGGGTGTAGGATGGCTATGGGGATCCACTGGGGTGTAGGATGGCTATGGGGATCCACTGGGATGTAGGATGGCTATGGGGATCCACTGGGATGGAGGCTAGGGTATAGAGGCTCTGAGAGGGAGTCGCTGGACACAGAGAGGGGGGTGGTGGGTGGACTGCTCCTCCCGAGAACGGCAGTGGGACAGGGTGGCAGGGCAGGAAGTGGCATTGGTGGATTGGCTTGGACTTGATTTAGCCACCCTGTTACAGTAACTCCTGCCCCAGTGTTCTTTCTCTCTCGGCCAGAGTCTACTCTCTATGAAACAGAGACTGTATTTATTAAGGTTGTGGATGGGAGTGAAATTACAGCACGTCCGTCTGCATGAGGTTTTGCTGCTTCTTACTGGTGCTTATCCAACCACTCCCCGCCTCCCTCTGACAGAGTAGGAAGATGATTGGTTCCTCCTCTTTGATTGACACTTGGGTCCACCTATCAAGAAGGAGATGTTTGCCAATACCCACATTCACTGTCTCTCCCCTCTTCTCTCCCCGACTGCTACTGATCAATGATTTTTATCCCCAGACATGATGATTGTTGATCTTGTTTTATAGAAGACAAAAACGGAGTAGACATTTGTTTCTCGTCTCAATCCATTCCCTGGTTCAGCCTGTACCCTGCTTGCTCCTCTCTACTGAATGGTCCACAGTCCGTCATGTTGATCAGGATAGGACCGTGGAGCCAACGTGACGAACTGGAAGCTTCCCCCATGCACTTTAATCTTTCCTTGTCCTTCCATAATCTCTCCTGTCTCTCCTACCTGGTCCCAGATCTGTTTGTACTGTCTTGCCAACTCCTCATGTGACAATGACCGTCGTAGTTGGAAAGACCATGCAAACAGATCTGGGACCAGGCGTATTGTGCGTCCCAAATGGCACCCTATTCCCTATATAGTGCACTACCCTATGGGCCTTGGACAAAAGTAGGCCACTAAATAGGGAATAGGGTAGTCTATGTGTCCCCTGGATAGTCGATGGGAGACTGTGACCTCCTCTACTCACTTCCATTTTTCATCAAGAAATGCAGAAGAACAACTAAACAATATTACAATCAATACAATACCACTCAGTACCTGTACTTACTGCAGAGCTGTGATTGGTCGGTCATCTTACGTTTCTGTCCCATCCATCTAGGTTTGTTTTTAACCCTTTACTGCTATGTGTACTACAAGCTTTCAGACGTGCTAGAATAATTCGCTTTTAAAACACACTTGTCATTGGTTGGAATGAAAAATATGTTCAGCATAAACATACCAGCAGCAAACTCGCACAACAAAACAGACAAGCAGTGTTTATTTTGGGGACAATATTCTAAGTCCTTGATGTATGAGCGGGAATCGTTCCATGAGAGTTATCTCATCGATCATGTAAAGAAAATTTGAAAATGTGCTAATTTATTACAAAATGAAAAAACTGATATCACATTTACAGTTGATGTCGGAAGTTTACATACACCTTAGCCAAATACATTTAAACTCAGTTTTTCACAATTCCTGACATTTAATCCTAGTAGAAATTCCCTGTCTTAGGTCAGTTAGGATCACCACTTTATTTTAAGAATGTGAAATGTCAGAATAATAGTAGAGAGAATGATTTATTTCAGCTTTTATTTATTTCATCACATTCCCAGTGGGTCAGAAGTTTACATACACTCAATTAGTATTTGGTAGCATTGCCTTTAAATTGTTTAACTTGGGTCAAACATTTCGGGTAGCCTTCCACAAGCTTCCCACAATAAGTTGGGTGAATTTTGGCCCATTCCTCCTGAGTCAGGTTTGTAGGCCTCCTTGCTCGCACATGCTTTTTCAGTTCTGCCAACACATTTTCTATAGGATTGAGGTCAGGGCTTTGTGATGGCCACTCCAATACCTTGACTTTGTTGTCCTTAAGCCATTTTGCCACAACTTTGGAAGTATGCTTGGGGTCATTGTCCATTTGGAAGACCCATTTGCGACCAAGCTTTAACTTCCTGACTGATGTCTTGAGATGTGGCTGACTAAATACTTTTTTCCCCCACTGTATATCCACATAATTTTCCTTCCTCATGATGCCATCTATTTTGTGAAGTGGACCAGTCCCTCCTGCAGCAAAGCACCCCCACAGTATGATGTTGCCACCCCCATGCTTCACGGTTGGGATGGTGTACTTCGGCTTGCAAGCGTCCCCCTTTATCCTCCAAACATAACGATGGTCATTATGGCCAAACAGTTATATTTTAGTTTCATCAGACCAGAGGACTTTTCTCCAAAAAGTACGATCTTTGTCCCCATGTGCAGTTGCAAACCATAGTCTGGCTTTTTTATGGCGGTTTTGGAGCAGTGGCTTCTTCCTTGCTGAGCGGCCTTTCAGGTTATGTCGATATAGGACTCGTTTTACTGTGGATATAGATACTTTTGTACCTGTTTCCTCCAGCATCTTCACAAGGTCCTTTGCTGTTTTCGCACCAAAGTACATTCATCTCTAGGAGACAGAATGCGTCTCCTTCCTGAGCGGTATGACGGCTGCGTGGTCCCATGGTGTTTATACTTGCGTACTATTGTTTGTACAGATGAACGTGGTACCTTCAGGCGTTTGTAAATTGCTCCAAAGGATGAACCAGACTTGTGGAGGTCTACCATTTTTTTTCTGAGGTCTTGGCTGATTTCTTTTGATTTTCCCATGATGTCAAGCTAAGAGGCACTGAGTTTGAAGGTAGGCCTTGAAATACATCCACAGGTACACCTTCAATTGACTCAAATGATGTCAATTAGCCTATCAGAAGCTTCTAAAGCCATGACATCATTTTCTGGAATTTTCCAAGCAGTTTAAAGGCACAGTCAACTTAGTGTATGTAAACTTCTGACCCACTGGAATTGTGATAGATTATTTCACTTAAAATTCACTGTGTATGTAAACAATTGTTGGAAAAATTGCTTGTGTCATGCACAAAGTAGATGTCCTAACCGTCTTGCCAAAACTATAGTTTGTTAACAAGACATTTGTGGAGTGGTTGAAAACGAGTTTTAATGACTCCAATCTAAGTGTATGTAAACTTCCGACTTCAACTGTACATAAGTATTCAGACCCTTTATTCACTACTTTGTTGATGCACCTTTGGCAGCGATTACAGTATTGAGACTTCTTGGGTATGACGCTACAAGTTTGGCACACCTGTATTTGGGGAGTTTCTCCCACGCTTCTCTGCAGATCCTCTCAAGCGCTGTCAGGTTGGATGGGGAGCGTTGCTGCACAGCAATTTTCAAGTTTCTCCAGAGATGTTCGATCGGGTTGAAGTCTGGGCTCTGGCTGGGCCACTCAAGTACATTCAGAGACTTGACCCGAAGCCACTCCTGCATTGTCTTGGCTGTGTGCTAAGGGTCGTTGTCCTGTTGGAAGGTGAACCTGAGCGCTCTGGAGCAGGCTTTCATCAAGGATCTCTCTGTACTTTGCTCCGTTCATCTTTCCCTCGATCCTGACTAGTCTCCTAGTCCCTGCCACTGAAAAACATCCCCACAGCATGATGCTGCCACCGCCATGCTTCACCGTCGTGATGGTACAAGGTTTCCTCCAGACGTGACGCTTGGCATTCAGGCCAAAGAGTTCAATTTTGGTTTCATCAGACCAGAGAATCTTGCTTCTTATGGTCTGAGAGTCTTTAGGTGGCTTTTGGTAAACTCCAAGTGGGCTGTCGTGTGCCTTTTACTGAGGAGTGGCTTCTGTCTGGCTGCTCTACCATAAAGGCCTGATTGGTGGAGTGCTGCAGAGATGTTTGTCCTTCTGGAAGGTTCTCCCTTCTCCACAGAGGAACTCTAGAGCTCTGTCGAGTGACCATCGGGTTCTTTGTCACCTCCCTGACCAAGGCCCTTCTCCCCGATTGCTCAGTTAAGAATGATGGAGGCCACTGTATTCTTGGGGACCTTCAATGCTGCAGAAATTTTTTGGTACCCTTCCCCAGATCTGTGCCTCGACACAATCCTGTCTCGGAGCTCTACGGACGATTCCTTCAACCTCATGGCTTGGTTTTCGCTCTCACATGCACTGTCAACTGTGGGACCTTATATAGACAGGTGTGTGCCTTTCCAAATCATGTCCAATCAATTGAATTTACCACAGGTGGACTCCAATCAAGTTGTAGAAACATCTCAAGGATGATCAATGAAAACCTGTTTTCGCTATGTCATTATGTAGATTGCTGAGATTTGTATTTATTTAATCCATTTTAGAATAAGGCTGTAATGTAACAAAATGTGGAAAAGTCAAGGGGTCTGAATACTTTCCGAAGGCACTATGTATGTACAGACATAATACTAAACTGGTGTAGATATCTATCTTTACACATCTGTATTCATCGTAGATTCTGTAGTGCCCATTCAGTCACCAAGGGGCATCTTTAACTCTGACTAACTTCACGAGGCTACATCTGTGTTGTTGGAAGACTGCTGCTGTGCCTTTTGTATTGTCCCATCATGAAACGTGACATCTTCAGAAATCAAGGACTTGGTGTATTACCAAAACAGTTGGCAGGGGGTATAAGATGAGGACACATTCTTGCCTTATAAAACCTGTGGAACTTGTAATACTTTTACTGTTTTTATTTGTCAAAGGATTTCAGTTTAGTATTCTACTTGTATTATGACTAGAAAAGGGATTGTGGAGGGTAAGGTTGAGATGTTGACTGTATAGGGTATATTTTAGAGGTCAAAAGTTGTATAACTGGTGTTACTGTGTACATTGAAATTATGAACTTATTCTTTGTTCATAAAACTTGACTGATCTTTCATACTTGACAGCACATTTCTGCATCACTGACTTAAACGTAGGCTAAGTAACACATTGCAAAATTAAAGAAAGTGTATCTTATGGTTTGGCAGGTGGTAACAATTTGCACTTTTCCATATCATTATTACTGGTGTGTGTGTGTGTCAGCGAGTGTGACCATATGGTTTAAATGGTGACATTGTTTGCCTTTCCTTTTTGGAAAACATTTAATTGCCCTTTTTAATTAAATGAACATCAAAATATTGAACAATATTTTTGTTCCAAAATGCCAGCAATTTTATGTCAAATTCACTGTACTACAACATTTTCCAGGTTGATTCTAATGGGACGTCCCAAGGATCCAGCCAACCAATTTTTATTCCATCCATCCAAATGAGAAATTCATGATTTAAATGGAATTGTAATGGTGTTTCATGCAAGATTTCAGGTTCTTTTTAAACTATCCTACATTTAACAGCACAACTCTGTGGCAAAACAAAAGCCTTGTTTGATTTTGGAAGTAGTTAAGACTACTTGAATGACAGACAAACATTGTAACATGTAAGTCCATCTTTTGAGTGAAGTTAAATTGAATGATTCATAAATAAATGTTTTGAATGTATTTTTTTGAGTATTCTGTGGTATTTAGCTTACTTGCCAAGTTGCTACGGTATCATTCCACCTTTGCATGTTTAACTCATATCTTAGTGGTGTGACCATAGAACTAGGAGTTTACCACTCAAATGGCCATGGTGGGAGCGGTTCCAAGCCCGTTCTACTCATTCTAATTCTATGGGTGTGACACATATTGACCTGACATACATTCATTAGACACATTGGTGCTGTCCAAAACTGGAAATAGGGAAACGTTTTTAAAGAATCTATCCATGGACAAACCTAGCTTGAGTGCTAGCCTGTTTGTACTGTTATGCCAGCTCCAGTTGGCAAAAGCACAAACAGATATGGGACCAGGTTAGGACAAACGATCAGGATTGCCGATATTTCCATATATTTTGTAAAAACACTGCCAATTGCAGTAAAATTGAAAACAATAAATGTTCAAAGGATGTTATAAGCTTTTAGTCAGTATTGTAAGCACAATGTACTGTACTTGTGTAGTGATAAACAAATATATTTCGGATGATTTAATGTTATTTGTAAACCTCAAGGGCCCAAAATATATATACCTCAAGGCTGTTCACTATGCATAAACGCTGTATCTTTTCAATATAGTCAGTGATGCAATGACAAATTCCAACTCAGAAAAGAGACGTGTCCTATTTGACTGTCATGTTGTCAATGGGGATAATTTGTTTTCTATTTGGTTTAGCAAAATGAAACAATAAAAATCTGCTTTTGTCAGCACGTCTCTGCTCTGTGATCTGTAAAGCCACTTGTCTCTTTTCACAGCCGCTGGTCTCCACCACAGCCTCTCCCACTTAATGTCTGATTTGTGTTACAACCTGACAATAATTTCATTTTGAACATCAACAGCCCACCCACTTCTGTAATTTGGGGGGGAGGGGGGGGCTCAGTCGCTGAATGCCCAGTAGTGTTGAACAGAGATGCTGTGGCGGAGACTAATGAAAAGAGACTGTGTTGTCACATTATTACAGAGGAAAATTACATCTTTCACCAACCTTCTTTCTCAGCTGAATTTTCTAGTGTTTTCTAGAGTGTTTGGCTCATCCAGCTTTTCACAACATTTGCAGGCAAGTTACATTTTGGTGTGAGTATACAGTGGGGGAAAAAAGTATTTAGTCAGCCACCAATTGTGCAAGTTCTCCCACTTAAAAAGATGAGAGGCCTGTAATTTTCATCATAGGTACACGTCAACTATGACAGACAAAATGAGGAAAAAAAATCCAGAAAATCACATTGTAGGATTTTTTATGAATTTATTTGCAAATTATGGTGAAAAATAAGTATTTGGTCAATAACAAAAGTTTCTCAATACTTTGTTATATACCCTTTGTTGGCAATGACACAGGTCAAACGTTTTCTGTAAGTCTTCACAAGGTTTTCACACACTGTTGCTGGTATTTTGGCCCATTCCTCCATGCAGATCTCCTCCAGAGCAGTGATGTTTTGGGGCTGTCGCTGGGCAACACGGACTTTCAACTCCCTCCAAAGATTTTCTATGGGGTTGAGATCTGGAGACTGGCTAGGCCACTCCAGGACCTTGAAATGCTTCTTACGAAGCCACTCCTTCGTTGCCCGGGCAGTGTGTTTGGGATCATTGTCATGCTGAAAGACCCAGCCACGTTTCATCTTCAATGCCCTTGCTGATGGAAGGAGGTTTTCACTCAAAATCTCACGATACATGGCCCCATTCATTCTTTCCTTTACACGGATCAGTCGTCCTGGTCCCTTTGCAGAAAAACAGCCCCAAAGCATGATGTTTCCACCCCCATGCTTCACAGTAGGTATGGTGTTCTTTGGATGCAACTCAGCATTCTTTGTCCTCCAAACACGACGAGTTGAGTTTTTACCAAAAAGTTCTATTTTGGTTTCATCTGACCATATGACATTCTCCCAACCCTCTTCTGGATCATCCAAATGCACTCTAGCAAACTTCAGACGGGCCTGGACATGTACTGGCTTAAGCAGGTGGACACATCTTGCACTGCAGGATTTGAGTCCCTGGCGGCGTAGTGTGTTACTGATGGTAGGCTTTGTTACTTTGGTCCCAGCTCTCTGCAGGTCATTCACTAGGTCCCCCCGTGTGGTTCTGGGATTTTTGCTCACCGTTCTTGTGATCATTTTGACCCCACGGGGTGAGATCTTGCGTGGAGCCCCAGATCGAGGGAGATTATCAGTGGTCTTGTATGTCTTCCATTTCCCAATAATTGCTCCCACAGTTGATTTCTTCAAACCAAGCTGCTTACCTATTTCAGATTCAGTCTTCCCAGCCTGGTGCAGGTCTACAATTTTGTTTCTGGTGTCCTTTGACAGCTCTTTGGTCTTGGCCATAGTGGAGTTTGGAGTGTGACTGTTTGAGGTTGTGGACAGGTGTCTTTTATACTGATAAGTTCAAACAGGTGCCATTAATACAGGTAACAAGTGGAGGACAGAGGAGCCTCTTAAAGAAGAAGTTACAGGTCTGTGAGAGCCAGAAATCTTGCTTGTTTGTAGGTGACCAAATACTTATTTTCCACCATAATTTGCAAATAAATTCATAAAAAATCCTACAATGTGATTTTCTGGAGAAAAAAATCTCAATTTGTCTGTCATAGTTGACGTGTACCTATGGTGAAAATTACAGGCCTCTCATCTTTTTAAGTGGGAGAACTTGCACAATTGGTGGCTGACTAAATACTTTTTTTCCCCACTGTATGTGGGGGGAAAGTTTATTTAATTAGTGTAATCTGAGATATCAAAGATTTAACAGCAAGGCAACACATTTTCTAAAATCTGCATCGACAAAAAATTAACTTTGTACAGTAACATCTATCTGGGTGTTTCATGGCAAACATTTGACTGTTTCTACTATTCACGTGCCCATCCAAGCCTGGTGCCTATGGTGCTGCTCTCCCTGCCACCAGGGGCATCCTGCCCATGGGGGGCTGAGTCAGTCATCATGACCTGGAGGTATGTCACCTTACCCTACCTGACTTTTGGTATTATTGTAAGTGTGTGGCGGGGACTCAACTTCATTTGTGTCATCTGAGATATCAAAGCTTAACATTTAAGCTTTAACAGCACTCAACATCCTTTGCTCCATACTTTTATTTATTTATAGTATATGTTTAGTTTTCAATATTTAGACTGCTCTCAAATGAAATTAATAAAAAAATTAACAAAACATTTAACTGGTGTGGAAACTGTCAAATCACTATTTTAGCTATGCTGGACAGCAAAAAGCACAAAAATGGCCAAAGAGTGAAATGGAGCAAGGATGGGGGGGCGCTGTTCCCAAGTTCTCTTTGAATCCAGTAGAAATGCTTGCTCACTCTGAGGTAAATGTTGGGCTGCCGAGGCACACCACAGTCCTTGGTATACACCCGCACCCCATAGACGTAGTAGCGGTTCTTTGCAGGCATAAAGCAGCTCACAGGGCCCCCAAGATTCATCTGAAAACAACAAGCGATAAGCAAACATTTAAACATAACATAAGTACTTTGTGACTTGGGATTCATGTTCTTTCAGGAGGTGATTTTCTTAGAAGAATATTCATTATCATAACATGTATTTTAAAATCATAACTATACTGAACAAAAATATAAACACAACATGCAACCATTTCACATTTTAGTAGACACTCTTATCCAGAGCGACTTAGTGAATGCATGTTTTTTTTTTTTTTTTATTTATACTGGCCCCCCGTGGGAAACGAACCCACATCCCTGCCGGCCAAACCCGCCCCTACCTTGGACCAATTGTGCGCCGCCCATGGGTCTCCCGGTCGCGGCCGGCTGCGACAGAGCCTGGACTCGAACCAGGATCTCTAGTGGCACAGCTAGCACTGCGATGCAGTGCCTTAGACCACTGCGCCACTCGGGAGTTACAGTTCATATAAGGAAATCAGTCAATTGAAATAAATTCATTAGGCCCTAATCTATGGATTTCACATGACTGGGAATACTGATATGCATCTGTTGGTCACAGATACTGTACCTTGAAAAAAAAAAAGTAGGGGCGTGGATAAGAAAACCAGTCAGTATCTGGTGTGACCACCATTTGCCTCATGCAGCGTGACACATCTCCTTCGCATAGAGTTGATCAGGCTGTTGAGTGTGGCCTGTGGAATGTTGTCCTACTCCTCTTCAATGGCTGTGCGAAGTTGCTGGATATTGGCAGGAACTGGAACACACTGTCGATCCAGAGCATCCCAAACCTGCTCAATGGGTGACATGTCGGGTGAGTATGCAGGCCATTGAAGAACTAGGACATTTTTAGCTTCCAGGAATTTTGTACAGATCCTTGTGACATGGGGCCGTGCATTATCATGCTGAAACATGAGGTGATGTAGCTCAGTTGGTAGAGCATGGCGCTTGCAACGCCAGGGTTGTGGGTTTGGTTCCCACGGGGGGCCAGTATGAAAAATGTATGCACTCACTAACTGGATAAGAGCGTCTGCTAAATGACATAAATGTAAAATATGATGGTGGCGGATGAATGGCACGACAATGGGCCTCAGGATCTCATCACTGTATCTCTGTGCATTCAAATTGCCATCGATAAAATGCAATTGTGTTCGTTGTCCATAGCTTATGCCTGCCCATACCATAACCCCACTGCCACCATGGGGCACTTTGTGCATAACGTTGACATTAGCAAACCGCCATACACGTGGTCTGCGGTTGTGAGGCTGTTTGGACGTACTGCCAAATTCTTTAAAACGACGTTGGAGGCGGCTTATGGTAGAGAAATTAACATTCAATTTTCTGGCAACAGCTCTGGTGGACATTCCTGCAGTAAGCATGCAAATAGCACGCTCCCTCAACTTGGGACATCTGTAGCATTGTGTTGTGACAAAACTGCACATTTTAGAGTGGCCTTATATTGTCCCCAGCATAAGGTGCACTTGTATAATGATTATGCTGTTTAGTCAGCTTCTTGATATACCACACCTGTCAGGTGGATGGATTATCCTGGCAAAAGAGAAACGATCACTAACAGGGATGTAAACAAATTTGAGAGAAAAAAGCTTTTTGTGCATATGAAACATTTCTGGGATCTTCTATTTCAGCTCTTGAAACATGAAACAACACTTTTACGTGTTGCGTTTATAACTATTTTCTGTGTATAACTGATGTAATCCATGATTCCTAACTAACACGTTATCTAAAATGTAATTCGGAGATTAAACAAAGTGTAGGACATGACTGCGTCCCAAATGGGCCAGGGCTCTGGTCGAAAGTGGTGCAGGGAATAGGGTGCCATTTGGGACGCATCCCATGTCTGAACGTAACGGGTTGTTTCGGCCTCGGTTTACCTCACAACCATCAGGACCACCCATGCCACTGGGATGAGGCATACAAAACATGTCCCTAGCCACTTTGTAGTTCTGCCAGGTAGGCATGTTACACCTGGGATTGCCAATTTCCTTCACTTCGGCTTCTTGTAAAATGCTGGTGTTTGCTGTCAAAGAGCAAATAGGTTAACCGTGATTTGTGTTAAAGGCTTATACACTATAATCTTTTTGTTTTTAATACACTGAGAGTACAAAACATTAAGGACACCTTCTCTTTCCATGACAGACTGACCAGGTGAATTCAGGTGAAAGCTATGATCCCTTATTGATGTCACTTGTTAAATCCACTTCAATCAGTGTAGATGAAGGGGAGGGGACAGGTTAAAGAAGGATTTTTAAGCCTTGACATGGATTGTGTGTTATTCAGAGGGTGAATGGGCAAGACAAAATATGTAAATAGGCCTTTGAATGGGTTATGGTAGTAGGTGCCAGGTGCACCGGTTTGTGTCAAGAACAGCAACGCTGCTGGGTTTTTCACGCTCAACAGTTTTACAGTGTGAATCAAGAATGGTCCACCACCCAAAAGACAACCAGCCAACTTGACACAACTGTGGGAAGCATTGGAGTCAACACGGGCCAGCATCCCTGTGGAATGCTTTCGACACCTTGTAGAGTCCATGCACCGACGAATTGTGCCTATTCTGAGGGAAAAGGGGTGCAACACAACTCAATATTAGGAAGGTGTTCCTAATGTTTGGTATACTAAGTGTATATGATAGTTATAGAAAGAAGCAGACTGACTGCTATTAAAAAACAACATTTTCCTCTAAATTAACCACCAGCTGTCTGGCAAATAGTACTCTAAGTCTAACCCATAGAGAGAGAACTGTTTTATATCTATAGTCTAACCCAATGGTTAGACTACCACCAACTGAATTTTGCTCTGCCCGGAGTACCCCTGAAGTACCCCCTCGTGCATTTTACCAGTAGGCCTATGGTCTCATGAGTCTTCTCAAGTACCCCCTGTGGATAGGCCTAGTACCCCTGGTTGGGAACCACTGCTCTAACTTATGTCTGACCATCATTTCAAGCCCCCTGCAGCAGGCTGTGGCCAGCTCTACTTTGCCGATGTAAAGCAGTGTAATTTTGTTGTAGGACTTACCATTGGGCCCTGCATAACCTGTGATGTGGCAGATACTGTAATGATGTTCTTCAACATTGGAGTCATCTGGGATGCAAATTCCATCCACAAAGGTGTTGAATACAAGGGAGGGTTTCAACTTCAGAAGTGCAATGTTGTATCGCAGTGTGATAGGATTAAAACGCTTGTGCCGAACTATCCTCTCAATTTGTAATTCCTGTGTGTTAGCGTCATTGTGGTTTGCATCCGTGGTCCCAGCTTTGACTACCAGGTTGCTCGAATGGCTGCAACAAAAAGCGCAAAAGAAATGTTTCTGAAAAAGACAACTGCTAAAGTAGCTAAATGGTAGACACTTAATATATGCTGTCGTGTGTATATACCGATGCTGTGGTGCATGGACACATATGGCAGCTGTCAGTATCCAGTCCTGGCTGATGATGACTCCTCCACAGTGATGCTGTAAAGGATCTGCTGCGGTCGGGCGGTGCATGATGGAGACTTGCCATGGCCAAATACTAGGGTCAATTGGAGTGCCACCAACGAACCGACCACCACCATTATCATCATAGTCAGATGGCATCATTGTTGATGGTCTCTCTGGTCTCTTTCCACAATTCACTAAATATGATGACAAGAACCACAATCCTGAGTTTGTGCTTCGGCCTATGTAGCTGCTTCTGCCTAATGGCAGACAGCCCAGCCATTTGAGTTGGTACATGAAGCTGATCGGGCTGGGGAAACGTTACCACACAAGTAGGCCTAACTTTACTGACAATCCTATGTATGGCAACAAAAACATAAATACCAGCAATGGAGTAGCATTATGATTAGGCTAGCTATGACAGATAGCTACAGTGGGGAGAACAAGTATTTGATACACTGCCGATTTTGCAGGTTTTCCTACTTACAAAGCATGTAGAGGTCTGTAATTTTTATCATAGGTACACTTCAACTGTGAGAGACGGAATCTAAAACAAAAATCCAGAAAATCACATTATATGATTTTTAAGTAATTAATTTGCATTTTATTGCATGACATAAGTATTTGATACATCAGAAAAGCAGAACTTAATATTTGGTACAGAAACCTTTGTTTGCAATTACAGAGATCATACGTTTCCTGTAGGTCTTGACCAGGTTTGCACACACTGCAGCAGGGAGCCCACTCCTCCATACAGACCTTCTCCAGATCCTTCAGGTTTCGGGGCTGTCGCTGGGCAATACAGACTTTCAGCTCCCTCCAAAGATTTTCTATTGGGTTCAGGTCTGGAGACTGGCTAGGCCACTCCAGGACCTTGAGATGCTTCTTACGGAGCCACTCCTTAGTTGCCCTGGCTGTGTGTTTCGGGTCGTTGTCATGCCGGAAGACCCAGCCACGACCCATCTTCAATGCTCTTACTGAGGGAAGGAGGTTGTTGGCCAAGATCTCGCGATACATGGCCCCATCCATCCTCCCCTCAATACGGTGAAGTTGTCCTGTCTCCTTTGCAGAAAAGCATCCCCAAAGAATGATGTTTCCACCTCCATGCTTCACGGTTGGGATGGTGTTCTTGGGGTTGTACTCATCCTTCTTCTTCCTCCAAACACGGCAAGTGGAGTTTAGACCAAAAAGCTCTATTTTTGTCTCATCAGACCACATGACCTTCTCCCATTCCTCCTCTGGATCATCCAGATGGTCATTGGCAAACTTCAGACGGGCCTGGACATGCACTGGCTTGAGCAGGGGGACCTTGCGTGCGCTGCAGGATTTTAATCCATGACGGCGTAGTGTGTTACTAATGGTTTTCTTTGAGACTGTGGTCCCAGCTCTCTTCAGGTCATTGATCAGGTCCTGCCGTGTAGTTCTGGGCTGATCCCTCACCTTCCTCATGATCATTGATGCCCCACGAGGTGAGATCTTGCATGGAGCCCCAGACTGAGGGTGATGGACCGTCATCTTGAACTTCCTCAATTTTCTAATAATTGCGCCAACAGTTGTTGCCTTCTCACCAAGCTGCTTGCCTATTGTCCTGTAGCCCATCCCAGCCTTGTGCAGGTCTACAATTTTATCCCTGATGTCCTTACACAGCTCTCTGATCTTGGCCATTGAGGAGAGGTTGGAGTCTGTTTGATTGAGTGTGTGGACAGGTGTATTTTATACAGGTAACGAGTTCAAACAGGTGCAGTTAATACAGGTAATGAGTGGAGAACAGGAGGGCTTCTTAAAGAAAAACTAACAGGTCTGTGAGAGACTGAATTTTTACTGGTTGGTAGGTGATCAAATACTTATGTCATGCAATAAAATGCAAATTAATTACTTAAAAATCATACAATGTGATTTTCTGGTCTCTCACAGTTGAAGTGTACCTATGATAAAAATTACAGACCTCTACATGCTTTGTAAGTAGGAAAACCTGCAAAATCGGCAGTGTATCAAATACTTGTTCTGTACGTCAGTTTAGCTGAGCCCCTTATAGAATTAGAATTAGGAAAACTTTACTGTCGCAATGTGGAAATTTTTCTTGGGCTTCACCACATAAAAACCAAGATTAATACACCATCATGAGCGCATAATTCTCGAGATCAATAAATAAACCATACAAAGTACAAAAGTGTTATCGTACCGGTGCAGTTCAATGTTCCTATGTGTTGCGTCATTGGTCTAAAACCGTAATCATCATGAAGAGATCCTCATTTAAAATACATGAATGGTCAAAGACATTAATCATCATCATCATCATTAACAAGACTGAAGGGCACCTAGTCATCTACAGTTGAAGTCGGAATTTACATACACCTTAGCTAAATACATTTAAACTCAGTTTTTCACAATTCCTGACATTTAATCCTAGTAAAAATTCCCTGTTTTAGGTCAGTTAGGATCACCACTTTATTTTAAGAATGTGAAATGTCAGAATAATAGTAGAGAGAATGATTTATTTCAGCTTTTATTTATTTCATCACATTCCCAGTGGGTCAGAAGTTTACATACACTAAATTAGTATTTGGTAGCATTGCCTTTATATTGTTTAACTTGGGTCAAACGTTTCAGGTAGCCTTCCACAAGCTTCCCACAATAAGTTGGGTGAATTTTGGCCCATTCCTCCTGACAGAGCTGGTGTAACTGAGTCAGGTTTGTAGGCCTCCTGGCTCGCACAAACTTTTTCAGTTCTGCCCATTTGCAACCAAGCTTTAACTTCCTGACTGATGTCTTAAGATGTTGCTTCAATATATCCACATAATTTTCCTTCCTCAAGATGCCATCTATTTTGTGAAGTGCACCAGTCCCTCCTGCAGCAAAGCACCCCCACAGCATGATGCTGCCACCCCCGTGCGTCACGGTTGGGATGGTGTTCTTCGGCTTGCAAGCCACCCCCTTTTTCCTCCAAACATAACGATGGTCATTATGGCCAAACAGTTCTATTTTTGTTTCATCAGACCAGAGGACATTTCTCCAAAAAGTAAGATATTTGTCCCCATGTGCAGTTGCAAACCGTAGTCTGGCTTTTTTTATGGCGGTTTTGGAGCAGTGGCTTCTTCCTTGCTGAGCGGCCTTTCAGGTTATGACGATATAGGACTCGTTGTACTGTGGATAGAGATACTTTTGTACCTGTTTCCTCCAGTATCTTCACAAGGTCCTTTGCTGTTGTTCTGGGATTGATTTGCACATTTCACACCAAAGTACATTCATCCCTAGGAGACAGCACGCGTCTCCTTCCTTAGCGGTATGACGGCTGCGTGGTCCCATGGTGTTTATACTTGCGTACTATTGTTTGTACAGATGAACGTGGTACCTTCAGGCATTTGGAAATTGCTCCCAAGGATGAACCAGACTTGTGGAGGTCTACAATTTTTTCTGAGGTCTTGGCTGATTTCTTTTGATTTTCCCATGATGTCAAGCAAAGAGGTACTGAGTTTGAAGGTAGGCCTTGAAATACATCCACAGGTACACCTCCAATTGACTCAAATGATGTCAATTAGCCTATCCGAAGCTTCTAAAGCCATGACATCATTTTCTGGAATTTTCCAAGCTGTTTAAAGGCACAGTCAACTTAGTGTATGTAAACTTCTGACCCGCTGGAATTGTGATACAGTGAATTATAAGTGAAGTCTGTAAACAATTGTTGGAAAAATTACTTGTGTCATGCACAAAGTAGATGTCCTAACCGTTAACAAGACATTTGTGGAGTGGTTGAAAAACAAGTTTTAATGACTCCAACCTAAGTGTATGTAAACTTCCGACTTCAACTGTCCGTGATTTCAGTCATTAATATGTGCATCATGGTCCGAGACCATCAACAACAAAAAACTCATCATCACAATGAATTTAATTATGCAGTACAAAACGAAAGTCCAGTTCTGATTCAGCATTTAATGTGCTTATTGCACTTGAAACAAAATACGTTTTGTATATATTCTTAGTAGCCCTCGGCATCCTAAACCCCCTCCCTGATTGGTGCTTCTCAAACTCTGGGAATAGTGGGTGGGAGGGGTCATTTGTAATGGTCAGTGCTTTCCTCTAGCACATATGTCACTGTACTACTCTGGACAGTATTTTGCTGTTCTTGGCACTAAGGTTGCCATACCATGTGGTCATATTGAAGCAAAGAATACTTTCTACCAGACTTTTGTACACCATTTCAAAAATGTGCTAGCTCACACCGAAGCTGTTTAAGTTCCTGATCAGGTAAAAATCCAGCGTTGCCTCCTAAAAATATAGTCAGTGTTCATAGTACAATTCAGAGTGCCCAAGTATTTCGTACTGTCAACTAGCTAACGGAACAGGTTGACCACTGACAGTAACAGGTTTGAATAGGGAGGAGTCCTTTTTGTTGCAAATTATCTATTTTGTTTTACCAATATTGATTACCAGGGCACTTTCCTGGCACCAGTTCTGAAGAGACATGGCATGATTAAAATACAGGTTTTCATTATAGTCTCCCCCTCAAGCTGAAGGACAACTAGAGCCATATCATCAGCATATTTGAATAGGCTAAAACATTGTATTGAATCATGATTTCGTTTGTATAGGCAGAAAATAATACAGGTGTATATGTGTGAATATATAATACACCTAGTATAATACAGGTATATCTGCCAAGGAATGTTTGTTTACTACCGTTAGCTAAGCTAAACTCTGTGCTAGCTACTTACGGTCCGCTGTAAAATGTCCCTCCAAAGTGGCCAAATACAAGATAACACAAACTCCTGCGATGGCTATCAAAATGAACAATTTGGCACAGGAGTTCATCTTAGCAAAGTAGGTTAGCTAGATTTAGCTAGCTAGCTGGCTCGACCAGGCGTTCGCTAACTAGCTAGCTACATTGACAAGCTCTGGTACAAGAAGTGTCTTTATTCAAACGGTCAAAAACTGTTACATTGGATGAAGCACTACCATCATTGGTCGTTGACTGCGCGCCACACCACAGAGCACCGTGATTGGTGAACTCAAGTCGTTATATACACAATGTAACGATTTGTAAAGAGTCCAGTCCACTTTGCAGTGGAGGCTGTGTATTATATGCCTATGTATGTAGTATATGCCTATGTGCAGGCCAACCAAAACGGTGTCATTGCAACATATTTTTTCTTATTATTTTAAACAGCTTTTGTTTTGCACATGTAGCTAAATCCAACAAAATTAGAACAATTACTATTAATACCCGGTGCGCGAGATGTTTGGAGTTGTCAACAAAGCAGCATGACATTGACAGAAATATGATGTCAAGTTTTTGAACTACCGGTAGTTTATTTGATTATATATATATAAAGCGATCTGTGCATTTGAACAACAGCATAAATACACCTATTTCACATTTGTATGTCAAAAACCGAATGATCACTGCTGTACATGCTGCCACTGTTTTGAACAGATTAGATTATACTAGAACAAGCAGCCAGCTCACGAACAAAAGAGTGCACCAGGGAGAACACAACAACCATGCAGATGCAATAGCTAAGTGAAAACACATTATCTAGCTAACATAATGTCACAATGCATGATGCGCTAGCCAGTTAACTTTCATAAAGAAATAACTTCATATTTCCGAGTTAGTTTGATGAGTTCAGAACAGTGGAGGTTGCTGAGGGGAGGACAGCTCATAATAATGGCTGGAATGGAATCAATGGAATGGTTTCAAACACATCAAAGATGTGGTTTCCATGTGGTTGATACCATTCCATTTTCTCCATTCCAGACATTATTATGAGCTATCCTCCCCTCAGCAGGTTTAGAAATACTTTAAATTGGCATTGGAGCTAGCTAGCAAGCTACCCGCTATAGCTAGCTAGCTGCTTATCAAAGGTAGATAACTGGTTAATTTGACCCCAAAAAATCAACCAAACAATTTCTCAATGTTTCTCAAAATTAGTATAGCTGGCTAATTAATTTGATCAGGCTTCGTGATGCACCCGGTTTGATGCTGTTTTAGTCAACACAACATGTTGCCCTGTCACCTACAGTAGAACCTAATTCTGCAACGTGGTCTCAGAGCCGGGGTTGCAAAAAAAATCATTTTCCATCAATGGATGTCGATTTAACTTGTTTTGACTGCTATGATTAAGCAATAAAGCCCAAGGAGGTGTGGTTATGGCCAATATACCATGGCTAAGGATTGTTCTCAAGACATAGCCCTTAACTGTGGTATATTGGCCATATATCACAAAGAACAGCCCTTAGCCGTGGTATATTGGCCATATACCACAACCCCCTGAGGTGCCTTATTGCTATTATAAACTGGTTACCAACTTAATTAGAAAAGTAAAAAGTAAGTTTTTGTCATTCCTGTGGTACACATCTGATATACCATGGCTTTCAACCAATCAGCATTCAGGGCTCAAACCACCCAGTTTATAATTGTAGCCTAAATAAATCCCATTTGAGAATGTGCATAACTATAGATAAATCCGACAGGAGAGTTTGAGTGATGAAAGTTGGACAGAGGATCTCGAAATCTCTGTGCAAGAAACACTTGGATGAAAAAAAAACAAATGTTAGGCTATTTTCTGGCAATTATGACGTTATTATGTGCCAGATGTTAAGACTACAAACCGTTATAAATGGCCTATTTGCAAGATTGACTTATTTCAATAGGCATAGGCCACTGACTAAAATCTGGGTTTATAACTTCAATTCAACTTTGCCATGGTTTACTGAGCTAGATGCAGGTAGCCTATAGCCCCTGATATGCCAACATCTCATTTCAGGGAAAGGTCCACAATGTTGAGAATGATACATTTGCGATTGAGCTGTGACCATGATCACAATTGATAACTTCCAATTTAATTAACTAAAACATGGCCATTAATAATTGCATAATAACACAAGGCTACAACAACAAACTGAAGTTATAGGCTATTTATGAAATCCGTTTGCCAGCTCCTGGTAGGCTTCACAAGTGGCACAAATTGATTTGCAGTGACTCCAGTGATATAGTCATTTCAACATATTTATTGTATCAAATGGTGGGCTACAGCAGCCTACAATGGCATAGAAATTAATAGCCTACTTGATGGCCAACAGATGCAAATATAATATCATTTTCATTGTGGACTTTTTCCCCATAACACAAGCAAGCGAGGGAGTTCCATAACTTCCATTTCAAATGTCAACTTGCGCAGCGCTTCAGACCCTAGAACTGAGCATGAGTAAAACCCTTCGCTTGATACGGTTATCCATAAGAAAAGTCGACATTAGAATGCAGTTTACTTTAAAACACCTCTGAGCAAATTTATCTAAAGACCTCTAGTACGCCTAAAGTTGTTTTCCAATGCATTGTCGCCTTTATATCAGTTCTAGCGCGTTAATATGTTTTATGGAAAACGGGAATCTCCATAATGACCAATCTAAATAGCCCACCTACAACTGGTATAAAGTTGTCACGATAAATCACAGACAGTTTCACCAGCAAAGCACCCCCACACCATAACACCTCCTCCTCCATGCTTTACGGTGGGAACTACACATGCGGAGATCGTCCGTTCACCCACACCGTGTCTCTCAAAGACACGGCGGTTGGAACCAAAAATCTCAAATTTGGACTCCAGCCCAAAGGACACATTTCCACCGGTCTAATGTCCATTGCTCGTGTTTCTTGGCCCAAGCAGGTCTCTTCTTCTTATTGGTGTCCTTTAGTAGTGGTTTCTTTGCAGCAATTCGACTATGAAGGCCTGATTCACACAGTCCCCTCTGAACAGTTGATGTTGAGATGTGTCTGTTACTTGAACTCTGTGAAGCATTTATTTGGGCTGCAATTTCTGAGGCTGGTAACTCTAATGAACTTATCCTCTGCAGCAGAGGTAATTCTGGGTCTTCCTTTCCTGTGGCAGTCATCATGAGAGTTTTTGCGACTGCACTTGGAAGAAACTTTCAAAGTTCTTGAAATGTTCCGTATTGACTGACCTTCATGTTTTAAAGTAATGATGGACTGTCGTTTCTCTTTGCTTATTTGAGCTGTTCTTGCCATAATATGGACTTGGTCTTTTACCAAATAGGGCTATCTTCTGTATACCCCCCCTATCTTGTCACAACACCACTGATTGGCTCAAATGCATTATGAAGGAAATAAATTCCACAAATTAACTTTTAGGAAGGCACACCTGTTAATTGAAATGCATTCCAGGTGACTACCTCATGAAGCTGGTTGAGAGAATGCCAAGAGTGTGCAAAGTTGTCATCAAGGCAAAGGGTGGCTATTTGAAGAATCACAAATATAAAATATATTTTGATTTGTTTAACACTTATATATGTGTTATTTCATAGTTTTGATGTCTTCACTATTATTCTACAATGTAGAAAATAGTAAAAATAAAGAAAAACCCTTGAATAAATAGGTGTGTCCAAACCTTTGACTGGTACTGTGTATATATTATATTTGTATAAAAAATATTTGTACTTTAATTTGGGACCAATCACAAGCGGGGCGCCGCCCCTAACGCCCTAGTGGGCAAACCGCCACTGCTCAGTGGTTGAACCTGTGAGATCAAAAAGTTACCTATATAAGTAGGCAGGTAGGTCTAAGGAATATATTAATATATAATTCTCTCAAGGAATATAATTCCTTGAGAGAAGTATGCTACAACATTTAATTTCATGTTCCTTAAGGCCTAGCTAATGTTTTTATGGGTTACTATGATAAAGTAAGACAGTGGAACCAATGCCTTATGGCATTTCACAGGTTTATCCTTCAAAAATAATTAAATTGTTGAAATGACCCATCAAATATAGCCTACAGAGCCTTTGAATAATATGACCCAAGTTTATTTAGGCTACTCCTGAGAAGTGACAGAAAACTATTGACAACGTAAAATCATCAACACACCAAAATGTAATGACCATCCATGGGAGAGTAGTTGATGTCAAACATTGGACCAGATTCAGCAGTTCACCTCATTCAGATAAGCATAGAAACTACACTGGACAGGACTAAGATGAATCTGTTATCTAGCCGACAGACGGCTGACAATGATCTTGACTGAGTTGTCTTCAGCCAGGCTGAGTACTTGCTGGCCCTAGCATACACTCCGGGTCTTTTAGGCAATCCGCAGGCATCCCCAAAACTTGTCACGCCAACAATGTAGAATTTCTCCTGATCCTCACTGAAGCACTGGAGTGGGCCTCCACTGTCTCCCTTCATAATGTAGTGAACAACAGAGTGTGTTTTTATGGTAGCTATTATCATGGAGAACACAACTTTATTCTAATGGGCTATGTCCCAAATGGCACCCTATTTTCCATGAGCTCTGGTCAAAAGTAGTGCACTATAAAGGGAATAGGGTGCCATTTGGGACACAAACAGGATGGCCACCTCACCTGACATGTGTCAACCACCCCGGTCTCAGAGCCAGCACAGATCATACCATTCTTGATGTAACCGTTGTACCAGTCGATCCGGTTACAAATATTTTGCTCAATCAGCTCCACCTCAGCTTCTTGCAGTGTGTCCATTGGCTTTCCTAAAGCGAGACCAGACACACATGCTGTATTCATCTCCTGCTAAATTCAACATTCAGCACTGTTATACCCTTATAGCCTGGTCCCAGAAATGGTTGTGCAATCATGTCAACTCCTTGTCATGCATGACAAGAAGTGGCAAGGAGTGGCGTGATGGCACAAACTAACTGGTACCCAGGCTAAGGTTCTTAACCCCTAAACTGCTGTTCATCCCGGGGAGCTGCACTGTGGCACTGTGGCCCCTTTGGTCCTCTCAAATGGATGTGTTTGTGTTATACGGGGGGTTGAGAGCAGAGCAGGAGGCCGATTTCCGATGTTACAGTTTGATTAATAACGGTTGTATTTTATCATATTGTATTGTCATTTCCTAATAGATCCCACACAAACCTTTGAAATAAGTGCTGCCCCAACCACTGATGAAACACTGGTTGAGGTTTAAGTTGAATTCCTCCATCTCGTCTTCCACTGTACAGACAGGCTGGACAAAGTCTGTGTACTCCAGTGGAGAGCTGAGACGCAGAAGAGCTATATCGTTGGAGTAGCTGGGGTGGTCAAACTTCTCATGAGCTCTGACCTCCACAACATAGCGGCGCTGGGAGTACCGCCCTGGTTCTGTTAGCACGTTCAGTCCTGACACCACGCGCAGACTGGACATCCTATGAGGTCTGGGTGCAGCAAAAGCGGTTGGGGGTGAACAACAGACATTATTATTTTGAGCAGAAGAGTGTCAGCAGCTTTTTCCAGCGTTTAATGACTAGGAGGAAAAAGGCAATATTAAAGGATGAGAGAGTATGTATCTGTCACTGCAAAGTCATTTCTAAGTTAAATCGTTTTGTCTTATTAGGCCTTTAAGCAATTGAAGAAAATGTTTTATCAGTGACACTTTCAATTATGTATCTCAAGTGATTGTAGCCTACCTGTTCACCTGTCTGGTATGATCTTTTTCCCTGTATTATTAGGCATGGTGATGGCTGGGTAGCCTATGTAGAGTTAATATAGGCTATTCTTGTCATTTATTTATTGTTGGTTATATAAATTAGATGACTCACGGAACGACAGTGAAGCAGTGTGCAGCGGTGAGCACCCAGAGGCGGTTGAGGATGGTCCCGCCACAGAGGTGCCAGGACCTCACCTGCACACTGACCTGCCAAGGCCATGCACCCAAAGGTGCATTGCGCCCTCCAACAACACGTGAACCTCCTGGAGCGTCCGCCAACGGCCGCTGTCCGCATGCTATCATCACCAACGCAGAATAATGGAAATGTAGAATGTAAATTGAAGTTTCAGTTGAAAGTTATGCTGGTCAAGCATGCACACTAATAATTAGATATGAAACGGATTATCGCAGTAGGCCGAGTATGGCAAAAGTAAACACCTTACTCTGATTAACTTAATCGGCGTAAGGTCAAAATCGAAGTAAGCATAAGCTTATTAAAAACACTGGTTTTCTGAGCAATCTTTCGAATTATTAGGACATGTGAACGGCTTAATATGCGTTCCAGCGGGTTATTTAATCGGCGCATGTGCCAGCACGGGTAGCGCAAGCCTCGCTCAGTAAACTAGATTCAATTTAGGCGTCATCGCTTATTGGCAACATTTAGCTCGCGCTCCACCTGCAAAGCGTAGGCCTATATACCTACTCGTTGCGCACAAGTCTTTTCATGATACATTTGGTCTAGGACTTACTTCCTTGTGCTGAAACTTCAGATAACAATACACTTATGGACAGGGCACATTGTAAAAAGATTCCAAATGCCTTAAAGTCCATCTTTATGTGAGGAAAATGTAGGTGGACTAAACTGACAGGTGGATTGGTGGATCTCCTCCAATCATTGATTGATTCATTCATTTATTGTTCCAAAGCAGAGGTGTCGGCTTTGTGACGTAATTTTTACTGTAGGGTATGTGTGAGGTCACTTGTCAATAGCTAGGGACTGGGATAATGCTGATATCGGCTATCATAGGCTACAATATCATTTCAGATTTTGCATATCATTATTTGCAACGAATTTTAGGCCCAATTTCCTCAGTGTCTTATGTCATCATTGTAGCCCACATCAATAGCCTAATGATCACTTACACACAGTAAATAAAACATTATTGTATGCAAACGACTCATTAGGCTATATTGGCCATGATGTAGGTCTACAGTAGCCTAAACAGCATATCATCCATCACAAATCTTACAAGACTGGAAAAAGTGGTCCACCATGGGCAGCTGATATTGCTCGTTCAATTGCTGTGCCTGTGCTGAACGCCCTACAGGCTAGAATTTTTAACTATTTCACCTCTTCTCGAGGTATTTCACCTCTTTATTTTGTTAACATGTAGGCCTATCTTTGACGCACAAATGAATTGTAGTGGTGGTCACTGATTTCTTCAGTAAAATGCATTTGCCGACACTCCCTTACATTTCTGTTGAGAGTCATCAATAATGCAGCCAGGGCACTAAGAGGGGAGGTAGCAGCAACAATATGGCGACAACCGCAGTTTCTCCCGAATCTTTTCGACATCTGCAGTCCAGCAACGCCTTTCTGGGTTCCTTGTAATGCTTAGAAAGTAGGTAAATTCTTAGCTTTTTCTAAAATGGTTGCATGTTTTGAGGAATCGGTTGTTTGTATAGTCTTCAATAACCTGATAAAAATGTCGCAGAGCCACTCTCTGCCCAGCATCTTTCTTGGCTTGAATTGGCTGCCTGCCTTACCCTCAACCTGATTCCCGTTATATTTAAGCTTAATCGACATTTTGCTAATATCCTTCACTGAGCTAGCCATAATATTGTTTAGACAAATAGGACAAATTATAAGGAGAAGACGATGGCCCCTATTTTGACAGCTTCAAAAATTCAACGATTTAATTATTTTAAAAGTATGATTATCAAACGAAAATGAATGATTTTGCGCTGAAATGGTATTTCATTTCGTGATAGTTATGACACGCTGCAAATATTGGCCTAAGGGATGAGTGCCAGTTGCCTAATGTGATCATTCTCTCCCCCACCATCCCCAAAAAATGCTCATCCATCTATTCTAGCCTATTCTAACATGTAGGGGGTGTGTTTTTTGGTGCCAGAGCCTTTGAAACGGTGCTGCTATCCTTCACGACACTTTTTCATCCACCTTTCATCTCAAAATTGATCATCAAAGCAAGAATCTTATAACCATTGTAATTTCGTTGCATACACATACCCTGGTATCGATCTGGTGGTCGACAAGTCTTTACGGGTGTGGTAGCCTACATATCTCCTTCCTTCAATTGGAGCCAATTTTAGGACTGGGCAGCGCGTAAAACGCTCAGAATATCCTACAAACATTGAATTATTGGAGACAAGGATGGAGAACTATATATATTTTTTCTGAGTCTACTATGTTGATGGCGACAAGGTAGGATAATGTGTTCGAGATGGGATATTTTGCCGGGTGGAAAAACCTAACCGCCTAAAAGCTTAACATAGAAACCACCCATTGCAGCATTTCGCTGTGTTTCCTAGGCTGTGATGGGCCGCACTCGTGGGTAGGCTGCTGCTAAACGTGTGCATTACAATATCTGTGCACGATGGTTAATTTGTCTTATTATGTAAGTCTACAAACCGACTTTGTGATACGATTGGCAACGGTAGAATGATCGATATAAAAACAGACACGTTTGTTATACATCAAAACAAATACACCATTCAGCAATACTCGATTGACAGTGTTTAGCCTATTGCTCCTCCTGTGAAAATCAGATTAGATAACAACGATACACTAAATTAGTGTGCATGTCTTTGGCAGGTAGATTGCTGTCATTGAGTTTATAGTAAACAATAGTTGCCTGAAATTGATAGGGCCCTCGACTGCCAGGAATATGGCAGGTTCTGGTGCAACAACACACTGAGTTACAGAATATATAGATTGCCATTTGCCATCATACCATGTTGCCGAATGTGTATCCTAGGCTATGTTTGGAAAATGTTTGTCATTCTGTGAAGTAAGGTCATTAAGTAGCCTAAGGACATTAAGGCCACCGGTTTACCTGTGAGACGCGGTCGTTAACAGTAAGAGCAGCATGGCGCTTTCTGAATGCTGTGTCTGAGATGGTTACATAAAACTAGGCGGGTGCACCGCCACCCGATGAAACAAAATGAATGAAAAATGGTTCATTTCGTATTATGTCCCACTGGGTCCAAGCAATAATAGAATATGCGGGATGTTTGCTATCACGTTATGCTGATGCATATGCTAGCCTAATCTTACATCAGCCAGTGTAGTAACATTTACTTAGGTAAATAAACGCTGTAGCCTAAACAACCATCATGTGAATTTTGATCTTGTTTGTGTTTGTTTAATCAACAGAACATATACCATTATCGGATTATCCGACACCTGCAGCCCCATATCCCTGTTAGTATTAATGTAACCTATGACTATAGGCTCATGGCCTGCATCCTAAATCAATTTCTGCCCAAAATATCTTGTCCTGTTATCTTTAACGCCCGAATGCAATACTTTTTCGGAGTAAAGCAATCAAAGAAAAATAGTGTGCATGTTTATATCGCATTCAAAAGGCAATTTTTATTTTTTTATTTTTTTTACCGGATATTTGAGGAACTACTCTTGCTTGCCTCTCTCGCTTGCCTGTCTGGTGCTGAAATGGACAGCGCCCGTGAGCAGCGCGAGACGAGGGAGTGATAAGGAATTGGAATGCAGTTTTCCCTTCTTTCTCTTCTAATCTCTGATTTTTAGGCTGCAATATTGTTGCGATTCTAGCCTGTTAGAAGTGTTTCGAGCTGCCTGTAAGGTTGGTTACGCTGTCAATCCCTGTATTTAGCTATATTGTGTCAATGCAAACAACACAGTTATACAACAAGCTCTACAGTGGACAAGCATTCAGTGTGAGGACACGCCTTGAATTTAATATTTCATTTGAAATCGTGAGATTTATACAACGTTATTCATTGCAATATGTTAGCGCTATGTTTCGATATTTGCAGGTTTATACATGATAAATGGTAGGCCTCATCCTCCTCTGACCTTCTGGTTTCAGAGGTTAGATGCAACCCTCTACAGAATGTGTAGGCTATATAATGTAATCCCGTGTAGCTCAGTTGATAGAGCATGGCGCTTGCAACGCCAGGGTTGTGGGTTCGATTCCCACGGGGGGCCAGTATGAAAATGTATGCACTCACTAACTGTAAGTCGCTCTGGATAAGAGCGTCTGCTAAATGACTAAAATATAATAATGTATAATTTGTAGAATGTGTGAATTGTCCTGATATGAGTATACCAGACCTGTACTCTGGACAGCTTGATATTGCTATGGGCAGCAGCAGAAGTACCCTCCCTGGAGACATGAGCTTTAGAGTCATAGAAACGTTGAGAATATTGACTTCAAATATTGATGAGGGCTGGTTTGTGTGTGTGCATGTGCAGAGAGAGAGAGAAAGAAATTGCACTCTGACTGAAGTCATATCATAGGGATACATTTTATGTTGTTGAACAGTGATTGTGGTCGTATTTAGAAATTGTCTTTTGACAGACGCCTCGACATGATTATGTACTTACTAGTGTGTCATGTGCAGTACCCGATTATGTGAGGGTGATATGGGAAATGGATCTACCAGCAACTGAATTTGTGCTGTAATATTGATATTTTCTCAATGAAATTGAAAGCAAAGTTACAGTTATACTGTATTGGGAACCACCAATACTTACTGTAAAACAATGCCAATGTAATGGGGAATGTAAATTAAAGTTCCTGTAGTGTATTAGCTACTGGGATTAGACTGTGTAGTGTTTTAGTGGGGTTACACTGTGTAGTGTATTAGTGGGATTAGACTGTAGTGTATTAGTGGGATTAGACTCTAGTGTATTAGTGGGATTAGACTGTGTAGTGTATTATTGGGATTAGACTCTAGTGTATTAGTGGGATTAGACTGTGTAGTGTATTATTGGGATTAGACTGTAGTGTATTCGTGGGATTAGACTGTGTAGTGTATTAGTTTGATTAGACTGTGTACTGTATTAGTGGGATTAGACTGTGTAGTTTATTAGTGGGATGAGACTCTAGTGTATTAGTGGGATTAGACTGTAGTGTATTAGTAAGATTAGACTGTGTAGTTTATTAGTGGGATGAGACTCTAGTGTATTAGTGGGATTAGACTGTGTAGTTTATTAGTGGGATTGTTTTGTTGTTGTTGTTGTAATTTTACCTTTATTTAACTAGGCAAGTCAGTTAAGAACAAATTCTTATTTACAATGACGGCCTACACCGTCATTAGATTGTGTAGTGTATTAGTGAGATTAGAATGTGTAGTTTATTAGTGGGATTAGATGGTGTTGTATATTAGTAGGATTAGACGGTAGTGTATTAGAGGGATTAGACTGTGTAGTGTATTAGTGGGATTGGACTGTGTCGTTTATTAGTGGGATGAGACTCTAGTGTATTAGTGGGATTAGACTGTAGTGTATTAGTAAGATTATACTGTGTAGTGTATTAGTGGGATTAGACTGTGTAGTTTATTAGTGGGATGAGACTCTAGTGTATTAGTGGGATTAGACTGTAGTGTATTAGTAAGATTAGACTGTGTAGTTTATTAGTGGGATGAGACTCTAGTGTATTAGTGGGATTAGACTGTGTAGTATATTAGTGGGATTAGATTGTGTAGTGTATTAGTGGGATTAGACTGTGTTGTGTATTAGTGGGATTAGACGGTAGTGTATTAGTGGGATTAGACTGTAGTGTATTAGTGGGATTAGATGGTAGTGTATTAGTGGGATTAGACGGTAG